ACCACCAACCTTCATTTTACAAAACTCATCTAACCCTGACACTTGGTAGCCTCCTGTTTGACGATCGTGACTCGCGTATACCATTGCGATTGGGTTGACTTTCCAATCGAATTGGTTTCCAGATCCGACTGTTATTGACACCAAGGAGTGGGGGGTGGTCAAGCGAGGGTGGGGGTGGGGCGTGAGTGGGAGGGGCAGGGGGTAGGGGGCAAGGGGCATCAGAAAGTGGCAAGAAGTGGCCGGCAGTTAGGTTAGGGATTCTGGAACATTAGACAAGGGTAACCCGACCCGAAGAAGGCCTCGATTCTCGGTTCGACCAATTAAACCGGTTGAGTTGGGCCGGGTTTCAAAACAGGGGGTAAAGTATATTTATATTATGGTTAAATTGAATTAAACAAGAAAAGCACACTTGATTTGGTGAGCATTTAATTTATAAAATTGATCTAGCATTATAAGAGATTAAAATCTTAATAATACTATTCATATAATTATTATTCAATATCATTGAATGTATTGAACTATGTCAAGTAAAATATTGGATTCAATTGAGTATATATTATCTATAAACCTTGGTTCTCTTATCTTAGTGAGCTCATTTTGGGTGAGGATATTTCATCAAATGTCCAATACAAATCCCATCATTTGTATGATACCTTTAGCGATTAATTTATATCACATTTTACTTCATAATTAATTATATTTTGTGCCACTTAAAAGAAAAGCTTTACTTCATAATTAAGCATCTCTCTTGTCACCTAAAAAAAATAAAAAACAAAAAAAATAGGAGGAAAAAGCTGCTGGATGGACAAACTTTCTCCAAATCTGGTGCCATAAAGAGGAAAAAAAGTTTCCTTTTTTCTATCAACAAAATAAATTTTAACATTGAAATGGCTCCTATATTTGAATGTGGGACCAAAAAATAAAATAAAAATGGGATTTCAATTATCACACACAATACAAACTCAGACAGTAAAATTGAAGTCACAATAACCACCATTAGGTAGTCGAGTGGTCAACTAAGACTCTTGAGTGTATTACTTAAGAGATCTTAAATTTGATATACTTCAATTGTTAATAGAGGTGACCACTAGAGGCTTACCCAATCGTTAATTTCAGGGTTCCGAGTGATTAGTTGAGATACGCATAAACTGGCCCGGATACTTCTGATCAACCAAAAAAAAAAAAAATGTAGTCACGGATTAAGTCTTAATTATACCGCTAACACCAAATTAGTTAACAAGACAATGAATATATACTTACAACAATTTTAATTATAATCTGATTGCCTAAACAATTTTATATGTAGGTATATGAGGAGAATAATTGAAAACCCAAACAGTCTACGCTTATAAAAATCTCAAAAAGCAAAAAAAAAAGAAGATGAACCAGAGGCGCCGGATCACATGGGGACTCACTTTATACAGGAATCTCTTCCTTCTTTGTAAAGAAAAAGCTCTTCTTTCTCATTGCAGGACCATCCAAATCTAAGCATGCATGCATGCAAAACGTAGTATTTATTTTTCTTAAAGATCAAAATCAACACCCAAAAACTTATTAAATTTCATCACTTTAACCCTTTCCTTGCTGTCCTCCACTCATCTTGGTCGGCTCCTTTCTCGCTATATCTTCATCAAACACATTCATAATCTTCATCAGATACATATGGCTTCAACAGCTTCATTATTGCCCCAGCAGCAGCAGCCGGTTGCAGTGAATTCTGGAGCTTCTTCGAGTAATGTTGCCGGTAATTCTTCCGGGTCTATTGGACCGTTTTTTGCGGTCATGTCTGTTCTTACCATTCTCGCGATTATTTCATGCGTGTTGGGGAGGATTTGCACGCGTGATCGCCTTAGTAGTAACACGTCGAATAGTACTATGAGTCCATTGGAGTTATTCAAGAATAGAGACTGTTTTGGGAGGCTGAAGAGGAGGAGTGGCCACCACCGGAGCATTGTCAACCTCGGCCAGGTCGAGGTGGGAGCTAAAGTTGTGGATTTAGGCGAAGATACAAACGATGTTAACAAGGCTAAAGATCAGGATCCTGGTAAGGTTGAAGATCTCCCCAACTGATTTAAAAGAGCATCTAGCTTGTTAATTAATTAATTAGATGTAAAAAGGTTGATTAACCTTCTATATAATTGGATTTTTTTTCAATTTAGTTTAATCAGCTTGTTAAAATAAGATTGTTTTAGCATATATTTATGACATTCAACTTATATTATCATCTATTAATTAGAGAAAAAAGGTTTAGATTTGGATGTTTTGATTGATCCCATTTACCTTAATTTTCACCTTAAATAATTAATAGTTCGTAAATTAAGATTTTGAAACCTGGAATATCAATTATATTTTTTATAAAAAAAATTCCGTTTAATATTAAATCAATGGAGGAGTTGTTATATAGTGGGGTATAATAAGATAATTTAAAAAGAAAAATATCTTAAATATTTCAATAATTTTATTTTGAGTAAACGACTTTTTCCCACCCAAGATTTGCCTTAATGACACTTTCACACAAAGTTTCTAGATACCACTTTCTCACCCAAAGTTAATATTTTGTTACTATCCAAAACTGATTCCGACGGCAAAAATTCTTTCTGTCGTCACCATTTAGACATTCGATCTCCTCTCTATAAAACCTCTTTCACTTTGACACTTGATTTATCGTCGATTGTCGGCCATCGTAAAACTAAGGTTTCTTGTTCTTAGTTGATTTTCGGCTGATTCCGGTGGCAAATATTCAATCGGTCATCACCATTCAATCTACCAACCTATACTCTACAAAAACCCTTTTACCCTGGCTCATGGTAACTCGCCAAATGTCGGTTGAGAATAGAAGTGTATTTTGGGTATTAACGGAATATAAACATTGGATAAGAAAGTGGTACTTTAAAACTTTTTGGGTGAGAAAGTGTCATTAAGGCAAACCTTGGGTGGGAAAAAGCCGTTTACTCTTTTATTTTCAATTTATATTTCTGCAAACAATATACTAAAACGCATCCTCAAATCTAAAAATATAAAATTGTATATGAGTTTAATAATTATTTTTGATATTTTCTGATATTTATATATAAGTTTGATACTAATTGACTCATAGAGTATATGGTACATAAAATTAGTGATCATTTTGCTAAAGCATCCTAAAAATAAATAAAATAAATAAAAAATATACTTATTATTATTAGACTTGATAATCTTTTTTTAATTGCATTTACATATATACCAACTCCCAAGGCTGATGAAAGATGTAAATAGCTCAAAATAAAATAATCAAATTGGATTTTATTAAATTATAATGTTCCATTTAACTAATGTTTTTGTTTTATGTGAATCAATATTTAATACAAATTCTTTAAAAGTTCTTGTCATCTTGAGTTGGTGGATATGTTGAACGTCTCAATTCTGAAGACAAATACACTGAATCTTAGCTGTTTATGTTTGCAGAATACTCTTTTATAATTCAAACTCTCTAATAAAGAATGGGAGAGAAAGGTACAAAAGAAATAGATATCAATAGTTTATCAATGAAATTCACTTCAATTTAATAATTATTCATTTACAATCATCTTATATATATAATTCTCTAATCAAAACACCTTAATATTAACTTCTCATACCATGAATATAACCATTGAATTTGATTTGTAAAACATTAACAATGATTAAATATAGTCGATGAAATTAATATCTGGGCGTCCTGACTAAATTTTGACTATATATATATATATATAATGTTTAAAATCTCTATAACTAAGTATAAACATTTTGGATAAAAGATGTTTACGTGGAACCCAAAACTAAAATTATAGAAAGAGATTGAAACATGTAACTGGTTAAGTATCTTATAATAGAACAAATCTAAACATTAGGAGATTAATTCTCTCTCACATCAAACCGGTTTCACATTAATTGACTAATTGGGGTGCTTAATAGCCACTAGATTTTACCAATTCATACATGATAACATTACACTTACAATTTAATCTCATAAACTTTTTCTCATAACTTCGACATGACAGTTCACAATTGATTAGTTTATAAATAAATCACACCTACTCGCTATAGGTCTTGCCTGCCTATTTGCAAACTGACTAATTATGAGCTGTAAAGTCGGGTTGTGAGAGAAAATTTATAAGATCGGGTTATGAACCAATCTTTATCTATACTTAAAACCCCTAATTGAAAATTGGATAATTAGTTGAAAATATTGCTAGAGCCGTGTCACTTTTATTATGGTCTTGTCATAATTTCTGTCATTGACTGTTATAAAACTTATCATTATTATCCAAGCTTTAAAATTTAAAATCTCATATAAGTTAAAATTGAAATTTGTTGGCTTTAGTGAGATTACAGGGGTAAAGCAATGTTTTGAAAGTTGACGTGTCACCCTGCCAAGGGACCAGGTATTCGGGTTGAACAGTCCAACCAGCGGGCTACCGGTGATCCAGTAAGTTTAAAATCTAGCTAATAAATACGCATCAGTCCCTTTAGGTCGAAATCTACCAAACACACCCCTATGATCTGATCGCACAGCTAGGTTTTTGCTTTTCTAGGCCAAATTTCAGTTGATTCTTAAGCTCAAACTTCAATATGACACCACCACCTGAACCACCAATCTTTATGTTACAAAACATCTCTAACCTTGACACTTGGTAGCCCCCTGTTCGACGATTGTGACTCGAGTACACCGTTACGATTGGGTTGACTTTCCAGCCGAATTGGTTTCCAGATTCCAACTGTTATTGACACCAGGGAGTGGAGGGTGGTCAAACGAGGGTGGGGGTTGGGGGTGAGTGGGAGGGGGTAAGGGGTAGGGGGCATCAGGGGAAAAGGGGGGGGGGGCATCAGGAAGTGGGGGGGGGGGGAAAGGGGTAGGGGGCATCAGAAAGTGGCAAGAAGTGGTCGACAGTCAGGTTAGGGATTTTGAAACATTAGACAAGGGTAACCCCGCCCGAAGAAGGTCTCGGTTCCCAATTCGACCAATTAAACCGGTTGAGTTGGGTCTGGTTTCAAAACAGGGGGTAAATTATATTTATATTATGGTTAAATTGAATTAAACAAGAAAAGCACACTTGATTTGGTGAGCATTTAATTTATAAAATTGATCTAGCATTATAAGAGATTAAAATCTTTATAATACTATTCATATAATTATTATTCAATATCATTGAATGTATTAAACTAAGTCAAGTAAAACATTGGATTCAATTGAGTATATATTATCTATAAACCTCGGTTCTCTTATCTTAGTGAGCTCATTTTGGGTGAGGATATTTCATCAAATGTCCAATACAAATCCCATCATTTGCATGATACCTTTAGCGATTAATTTATATCACATTTTACTTCATAATTAATTATATTTTGTGCCACTTAAAAGAAAAGCTTTACTTCATAATTAAGCATCTCTTTTGTCACCTAAAAAAAACAAAAAAAAAAAAAAAAGGAGGAAAAAGCTGCCGGATGGACAAACTTTCTCCAAATTTGGTGCCATGAAGGGGAAAAAAAAGTTTCCTTTTGTCTATCAACAAAATAAATTTTAACATTGAAATGGCTCCTATATTTGAATGTGGGAAAAAAAAAAAAAAAATTGGGATTCAATTATCACACACAATACAAACTCAGACAGTAAAATTGAAGTCACAATAACCACCATTGGGTAGTCGAATGATCAACTAAAAATCTTGAGTGTATTACTCAAGAGATCTTAAATTCGATTTACTTCAGTTGTTAATAGAGATGGCCACTGGAGGTTTACCTGGTCGTTAACTTCAGGGCTCCAAGTGATTAGTTAAAATACGTGTAAACTGGTCTGAATACTTCCGATCAACAAAAAAAAAAAAAAAAATGTAGTCACAGATTAAGTCTTAATTATACCGCTAACACACAATTAGTTAACAAGAAAATGAATATATACTTACAACAATGTTAATTATAATCTCATTGCCTAAACAATTTTATATGTAGATATATGAGGAGAATAATTGAAAACCCAAACAGCCTAACTCATAGTCAATGATGTCTACGCTTATAAAAATCTCAAAAAGCAAAAAAAAAAAAAAAGAAGATGAACCAGAGGCGCCGGATCACATGGGGACTCACTTTATACAGGAATCTCTTCCTTCTTTATAAAGAAAAAGCTCTTCTTTCTCATTACAGGACCATCCAAATCTAAGCATGCATGCATGCAAAACGTAGTATTTATTTTTCTTAAAGATCAAAATCAATACCCAAAAACTTATTAAATTTCTTCACTTTAACCCTTTCCTTGTTGTCCTCCACTCATCTTGGTCGGCTCCTTTCTCGCTATATCTTCATCAAACACATTCATAATCTTCATCAGATACATATGGCTTCAACAGCTTCATTATTGCCCCAGCAGCAGCAGCCGGTTGCAGTGAATTCTGGAGCTTCTTCGAGTAATGTTGCCGGTAATTCTTCCGGGTCTATTGGACCGTTTTTTGCGGTCATGTCTGTTCTTACCATTCTCGCGATTATTTCATGCGTGTTGGGGAGGATTTGCACGCGTGATCGCCTTAGTAGTAACACGTCGAATAGTACTATGAGTCCATTGGAGTTATTCAAGAATAGAGACTGTTTTGGGAGGCTGAAGAGGAGGAGTGGCCACCACCGGAGCATTGTCAACCTCGGCCAGGTCGAGGTGGGAGCTAAAGTTGTGGATTTAGGCGAAGATACAAACGATGTTAACAAGGCTAAAGATCAGGATCCTGGTAAGGTTGAAGATCTCCCCAACTGATTTAAAAGAGCATCTAGCTTGTTAATTAATTAATTAGATGTAAAAAGGTTGATTAACCTTCTATATAATTGGATTTTTTTTCAATTTAGTTTAATCAGCTTGTTAAAATAAGATTGTTTTAGCATATATTTATAACATTCAACTTATATTATCATCTGTTAATTAGAGAAAAAAGGTTTAGATTTGGATGTTTTGATTGATCCCATTTACCTTAATTTTCACCTTAAATGATTAATAGTTCGTAAATTAAGATTTTGAAACCTGGAATATCAATTATATTTTTTATAAAAAAATTTCCGTTTAATATTAAATCAATGGAGGAGTTGTTATACAGTGGGGTATAATAAGATAATTTAAAAAAAAAAAAAAATCTCTTAAATATTTCAATAATTTTATTTTGAGTAACCGACTTTTTCCCACCCAAGATTTGCCTTAATGACATTTCACACCCAAAAAGGTTCAAAATACGACTTTCTCACCCAAAGTTAATATTTGGCTACTACCCAAAGTTGATTTTGATGGCAAAAACTCTCTCTTTCGCCACCATTTGAACCTTCAGTCTCCTTTATACAAAACCCCTCTCACTTTGACACTTTATTTATCGCCTATTGTAGATTATCTTAAAGTTAGAGTTTTTTGTTCTTAATTGATTTTCGGCTGATTCCGGTGGCGAATATTCAATCGTTCACCACCATTCAATCCACCAACCTGTACTCTACAAAAACCCATTTACCCTAACTCTTGGTAACTCGCTGAATGTCAGTTGAAAAAGTGAAGTGTATTTTGGATATTAACGGAATATAAACATTGGATAAGAAAATGGTATTTTAAAACCTTTTTGGTGGGAAAGTGTCACTAAGGCGAACCTTGGGTGGGAAAAAGTCGTTTACTCTTTTATTTTCAATTTATATTTCTGCAAACAATATACTAAAGCATCCTCAAATCTTAAAATATAAAATTGTATATGAGTTTAATAATTATTTTTGATATTTTCTATATTTATATACATAGAGTATATAGTACATAAAATTAGTGATCATTTTGCTAAAGCATCCTAAAAGTAAATAAAATACAATAAAAAATAAACTTATTATTATTATTATTAGACTTGATAATCTTTTTTTAATTGCATTTACATATATACCAACTCCCAAGGTTGATGAAAGATGTAAATAGCTCAAAATAAATTAATCAAATTGGATTTTATTAAATTATAATGCTCCATTTAACTAATGTTTTTGTTTTATGTGAATCAATATTTAATACAAATTCTTTAAAAGTTCTTGTCATCTTGAGTTGGTGGATATGTTGAACGTCTCAATTCTGAAGACAAATACACTGAATCTTAGCTGTTTAGGTTTGCAGAATACTCTTTATAATTCAAACTCCCTAATAAAGAATGGGAGAGAAAGGTACAAAAGAAATGGATATCAATAGTTTATCAATGAAATTCACTTCAATTTAATAATTATTCATTTACAAACATATTATATATACACCGATTAACTTAACTTCTTATACCATGAAGATAACCATTGAATCTGATTTGTAAAACATTAACAATGATTAAATATAGTCGATGAAATTAATATCTGGGCGTCCTGACTAAATTTTGACTATATATATATATATATAATGTTTAGAATCTCTATAACTAAGTACAAACATTTTGGATAAAAGATGTTTACATGGAACCCAAAACTAAAATTATAGAAAAAGATTCAAACATGTAATTGGTTAAGTATCTTATAATAGAACAAATCTAAAAATTCAGAGATTAATTCTCTCTCACATCAAACCGGTTTCACATAAATTGACCAATCGGGGTGTTTAATAGCCACTAGATTTTACCAATTCATACATGACAATACTACACTTACAATTTAATCTCACAAGCTTTTTTCCTCACAACCCCGACGTGACAGTTCACAATTAGTCAGCTCGTAAATAGGTCATACCTGCTCGCTATGGATCTCACCTGCCCATTTACGAGAGAAAGTTTGTAAAATTGGGTTATGAATCAATCTTTATCTATACATAAAACCTCTAATTGAAAATTGGATAATTAGTTGAAAATATTACTAGAAAAAAAACTTGCATGCTGATCTGTCACACATATATATAAACCTTAAAATTCTAAAAAAAAATAAAAAAAAATAAAAAATGACAGAAGTGACACTTAGCTTCCTGGAACCTCCATTAAATTATAGTAAACTCGTAGAATCTTTATTTAGCCCCATTTTCCAAAAAATTAAAAAAAAAAAAAAATTATTTCACCAACGCATGCTCTTTCTATATTTAAGATTTTCAAAGCTTAATGCTCAACACACATTCTCAACAAACAAACCAGAAATAATTTTCTTCACATTCTTCATTCTTCCTCCTCCTCCTTCAACCACCATTTTCATTTTTCTCCTCGAACATTGCTTTGTTTTCTGAAAAAAATTATTCATTGTTCCTGCTAGGAACATATTTTAAGGTAACATTTTCGACATGGGCAGGTGGCAAGTTGATCAACTTAATCAATTGAGAGATATTTTTGCAAGATTTGACATGGATTCGGATGGCAGCCTGACGATTCTGGAGCTGGCGGCATTGTTAAGATCCTTAGGATTGAAGCCTTCGGGTGACCAGGTTCATGTTTTGTTAGCCAACATGGATGTTAATAGGAATGGCTCGGTGGAATTTGATGAATTGGTGAATGCAATATTGCCTGACATGAATGAAACAATGTTGGTGAATCAAGAGCACCTTTTAGAGGTTTTCCGCGCCTTCGATCGCGATGGAAATGGGTACATTACTGCAGCTGAGCTTGCAGGGTCCATGGCCAAGATGGGACAACCTTTAACTTATAAAGAGCTTACAGAAATGATCAAAGAGGCTGATACAAATGGTGATGGTGTCATTAGCTTCAATGAATTTGCTGCTGTCATGGCTAAATCTAATTGTGATGTCTTTGGCATTGCGTTTTCGTGACGAAGAATTTGATTCAAAATGGTATCAGGATGTAAACTAGTATGATCATCCTTATCATTTATTCATTACTAATTTTAGATTTTTCGACTCATTGATATGCAGACTAGTTTTTTTTTTTTTTTTTTTTTTTACTTTATATGAATATCACCAGAAGAATGGAGTCTTCAATCCTCGTAAAATTTTGAGTTTATTGTAATCTTAACTTTTGTTAACCATTGGTTCTGATAAATTTGTGTAAATAATAATCTGGTTATTGTATTCAAATTGTAATTTTGAATGGTTGAGATGCAGCATATAAGAGTTCTGCATGATTGAACACAATGTTTGAACATTAACAGGGTGATTCGTTTTTCAAGAATGTGAATTCTGCAAAATGTTTTGCGAAAAAGAATTAAGCCATTTGTGATGGTTCCATTTATTTGAAGAGTATTTGGCAATGGCAACAAGATGAAGCTTTGTTCAAGAATTTTCAAAATGAAATTTCTTTCTGGTAATCTGTTATCTGTTCAAGGCGAAGAACATGTTGAATAAGGGTGGAGTTCACTGAAGGAAAACTCTCAATTTTGTAACAAGAACTTTGGAATACCAAATAGAAAAAATGAGAACAATGAAAGAAGTTTTCCCGAATGCTGCATCATGTTACACTTCTTAACTTAGAAGTTGATTTACAAGGTACATTTGAGGGCAAAATAAATTGAATCAAGCTTTTAGAATTACAAATTACATGAACAATACAATTTTTTACTGTAATGCTTCCAAAACGATAAACTAAAATATAGTTTTGGAGCTCAGAAAAACAAAATTCTTTTAAGCAAAAACTTGTAAGACATGGCTGGCATCGTTTCACTTGAGAGCATCATCTACAAAACATTCTTTCTTGTTGAGCAACGCGGTTGAAAGATGAGGTCTGCATTAAATATGTACAAGAAGAAAGAAAGTCTTCTTAGCAGCTAAATACCAACTATTCTTAATAGAATCTACAAAGCTTGTCCTTCAGTCATCTTTTCAAGGTCTGCTTTCAAGTTTCTTGAACTTGCTTCAAACCGAGCAGTGAAACCTACTGTTGTTGGTCGCAATGATCTTTGTCGCACCATATAAACGTACTCAGGGTCATCTGTTTGCCCATCAAACCTAATCCATTGTATCATTTGATGATAGAAGGGGAAGAACCTCATTTGAATTGAAGAGTAAGCGAAATACGGAAGCAGGGAGGAGATCACAACTAAGATTGTAATGAGCCAGAAAAAAGGTGCTGGGGCACAGGCTTCAATGAAGACCTTATAGGCAGTTGTTGATATGTCTGGATCCATGGCTCCATATGCCAATAGGAATAGATACCAGAATATAATGCCACCCCAGATGAAGATATGTTGTATGAATGTAAAATAACTCACTGACAGTGCCATCTGGCAGTTCACCACCCATACAACACAGGTATACATGGTGGCACCTAGGATTTCCAAGCCGGCAACTTCCCCACCTTTACGGAAGGCTTGTTGCTCCATTGCCCGGATGCAAAAGAAGAAGATGATGATAGCACTTAAAACCCCATTGAATGCCCATCCAAGTATACGAGTCCAGCTAAATAGGACATTTTGTATACCTTCTTGGTATAATAGAGGGAACTGTAAAAACAGAAGGAAGAGAAAACCATCACGTTTCCATAAACTCTATCTTAGGTAATAAAAGAATGACAACTTATTTGAGAATATATAGTAATTTGACTTGTGTGATGAGATCCTAATGAGATTTTCATCAATTGGTCAAGAAAAAAAGTTTAACATGGCACCTACCCTCAGACACAAACGGGCAGTGACATCTTGGTCAAAAACTCCCAGGGCAATCACAGGAAGTGATGTGAAGAAGACGTTATAAAGTGATAGGAACCAATCATTGTATACTGTTTGGCCAGAAAATGATGCATACATCTGAAAGAAGAAGATAGTGAAGCCAAATGCAATGTTCTTGTAGAAGAAATAGCATATCTGCCAAAAAAAATAAAAGACAAATGTCAGTAATTTGAAATCAATCAATCTCACAAGGCATTGGGCCGCAGTTTTAGTTAGTTTCAAGAAACATAATCAGTAGTTTCTCTCCACTATAATAAAATGGATGTCCATCATAAAGCAAAAAGGAAAAAAATAAGAATATTCTACTGAATTCTTACCATTGATGAAATCCTCCTATAACACCAATGTCCATGCACAAGTAGCAAGCGCTCCAAGAATCGGAACTGTGCAATTGCAATGTCACTTGACATGACTGCCTGAAATTTTGGAAGAGGCACCAAGGAGAAAAGTTGAGAATTCAGTTAGATCAATATATGGAATAGATTCAAGGTACAATGAAAAACTTATAATCAATCTCTTTGGCATTTACCTGCATTCCTTCTGCACCACTGATACCAACTCCAATATCTGCTTCTTGAAGCATTCCAACATCATTTGCCCCATCACCAATTGCTAAAGTTGTGCTACCAGTTTTAACTTTGACTAGCCTTGTAACCTTTAAAAAATTTAACACCTTTTAGCAAGAACAAAGGAAATGTTTGGACAATTTTTGTTTCAAAAATTTTGTTGAAGTTCTCACAGGAGTCAAGTTCTTATCAAGTAGGGTGATATAAACGACTTCATCATCAAGATAAAATAGTAGAAAAGTGGAACAATAAAAGATCCTATAGAATCAGATTATCAGTTGTCTCTTAGTATTTATAGAACATAATTTGTTTGCCATTGCTTACATAACAATTAAACTGAGATATTAAGTTAACACTTCTTGATCAACACTCGTGATAAAAAGTGAGATGCCTAGCAGTTTTGTGATACATTATTTCATGCTTCTTATGAAAATAAGTCAAACACATTTTTGAGACATTGTTGATACACTACCTGGGTTTAACACAAATTATACAATAATAAATGCCACGGTAATAGCTAAAAAGATGATGACTTACAAGTGCTTTCTGTTTAGGAGATGAACGACAGCAAATTACTGAAGCACAGCCAATGGCAAGCTCCAGAAATATGTCCTTGACATCATCTTCTAGAGCATAAGTGAGTGACTTCCCATCAATGATCAGTGCCAATGCCTCCAAGCTTTCATTTGAAGCTCTAAGCAATGTCCTTCCGTCAAGTATTTGACGGATAACGCTTTCCTTCAATGCCTGAAGAATCAAAAAGACCTCATCAAGCTCAAAAGTCATAGCGTAATGAACATTGGCCAATATAATACTTATATACTGGTATTCAAGAATTATCACATATTTTACTAGTAACCATCCTACTTTTGGACTTTTTGGATTTTCAAAAACAAGTTTTTCAGCATGTTAGACACCAATTCTGACAACAAAATCTTGTTTAACATTTTATTTTTAGTTAATATAGCTCCCTCGATGTCTATCATACACCACTATAGTTATGCTTAAAAGCTATCTAACAAGCAAAAATAATGATTTTGAGCTTGAACAGATTTTAGTTCTAGAAGATCTAAATTGCAACAAGTACGTGACCAACTGATTTCTGACAGGATTGGAATGGGAATCAATCTGTATTACCACGCAGATGAGTGGTAGAATCTATTTTTCAACTTGTCTAAATAATCAATTCCACAGGAATTTCAACATAAAAGATCTCCAGTTCTACTTAACTGGATAAGGAATTAAATTGATACTTTAATGTGCATCCTCTGAAATTAGTGAAGATATAAACTGTAAGCCTGTAATCGTATTACATCATTTGTCAATACCTAATACTGCAATCCCACAGACATTACCAGTTTTACAATAAGCATGAAGAGACAATGAGGAAACCGGTACAGTACACAATCAAGAAAACTTAGTATACAGGCAACAGATAAGGAGAAGGAAACTTGTGACATAAACAAATTTATTTCGTTATTTCAAGGATTTTTCTATTTCCCCTTCCATGTTCTATCAGCTATCAAGAGTCTGTGTGTAAAAAATTAAACCCTTATGTTGGAAACTGTAGAGAATTATACCCCAGAAGTTCCTAAATATTAAAATAAACAATCATATGTGGAGTTCATGCATATAGATATTTTTTGTTGGAACTGGATCTCCAAAATTCTTCAAATAATTTTGGATTCTAAGTTTCAAAATATTGACCCATCTAGAAAAGGAAAAAATAGTTTAAACCGTCTCTTTTAAAGAAAAAATATAAATTTATGTTTTAACCCCTCAATATGATCCTAAATTATGTTGTTAAGCCATGCTACTCAAATGACAACAAAAAAAAAAAAAACTTTGGGATTACCGCAGCAACAGCAGATTTATCTTCTGATTTCTCAAGAGCTTTAGTTTCTGGTGTGTCTGAGTTGACTACTATTTGTTGCATTCCTTGTCTAAGCAAACTACAGGCAAAGCTGTGAAGTTTAACACAAAATACAAGAAATGTTAGCATATCAGAATTTAACATGTTCATTGAAAGAAAAAAATCACATCAACTAATCATACCCAATATTGATTGCAGTCTCCATCTTATCTCCAGTCAAAACCCATAGTTTAATTCCTGCTTGTGCAAGTTTGTCAATGCATTCAGGAACCTGTCCCACACAACAGAAACAGTTATTCTCAATTTTCGTATCCAATTTCTGTGAAACTCACTCTATTCACTGGCATTTGGACTGGACATAAATTAACAATTCTAGTAAAAGAAATTTAATTATTGCATGATTTTTTTTTTTTGGGGTCAAAATGAATGTTATTATAACCTCTTAGTATTCTTTTTTATGATATATGCAGCTCTTTAGATATTCACACTCCAAAGAGTTTGTTTTATGACATACAAAACAAATTTAATTGCATTTCATCAAGCTCTATTTTTTTTATTCAAGTCTGAAACCTACCCCATTTTGAAGTTTGTCTTCAACAGCTGTAGCACCAAGAAGAATCAAATCCTTTTCAATTTTTTCTGCCGCTTCCTCAATCATTTCCTCACGATCTGCACTCAGTGAATTCTTGGCCACAGTAAATTCCTCATTAAACCTATTGTATTCTTCTTCATCCAGTTCACGATATGCAAGTATTAAAGTCCTCAAACCGGCATCAGCATACTCATTGATGTGTGCCTTGGTCTGCTCTTCAAACTCTCTTCCGTTCTCCGCAAGTCTTTCAAACATGACACTGGTTGAAGGTAAGGAAGATTAAATGAACATCAAGCAATCTGTAGTTATCAACACAAAACCAAAACAAACTACCCTTCCTGCAATTATGATGAAACAAGCATTTCTCATTCAGAGAAAAAATAGTGTGAGGCCTCGGTTTTGACTCATTGGTTGTTGGATGTTATTGATTGTTAGAGCAAAATTAAGAGCCATTCCATTTTCCAGTATCTTTCATGTAAGGAATTCACCATCTCCTTGTGATGGATAAACCTTACTCAATTTATAAGAGCCAAATCCTAAATCAAACTATATCACAAGCTCTAGTGCTATGTTTCAGATTACAAACCTGTCAGCACCTTTGGAAAGTAGTAGCAAAGTCCCCTCCTCATTTCTTACAATCACAGACATCCGCTTTCTAGAGCTACTGAACTCCAGGACATTCAAAAGTTTGTAAGACCTGAAAGAATGTAAACTAAATAAAATGTGCGCCCTTTATTTGAGACTGGATTAGAATAATCCCACATGGTGTAATTAACCACTTATAAGCAATAGGTAAAACATAAATGCTTGCAAGAAATTGACCTTTCAACACTCCTGCAAGAAACTGGATCTAACTCATGAAGTGAGATGCTTGTTTGAGTCCTTTCGTAGAATTCAAACCCAAGTTCTCTTGCTGCAATGACAAAAGCTGCTTCATCTGGTGATTCAGCTTCATATGTAATCCTTCCAGTTTCTTCATCAATTTCAGGTAGTGCAGTGTGGCAGATGGCCAGCAGTCGCAAGAATTTATGGATTACATCTGCCCGAGGCTCTTTAACCCAATTACCATTCACGATCCTTTCATCCACAAAATTATAACCTTTAACAGATGCCTTTTCTTCAGCAGACTCCACAACATTAGCCTCTTCCTCAGTCGCCTCTTGTGGTAAAGGTGACCCCTTTCTACTGGCCATTGCTCTCTCAACTTCGGTTACTCCACGGCCGTAGGAGGTCCCAGCAATTGAACACTTGATAAATTCCATGGAGTTGCAAGTTAAAGTCCCTGTTTTATCAGAAAGTATAGTGTCAACTTGGCCAAGTTCTTCATTTAAATTTGAGGTACGAGCCAGTGCTGGCTTGTCAGCTTCCTCGTAGTACATGTGAATATCTTGGTTGATAAACCTGCTCTGAAGCATTTTGACAATTTCTATCGACACATACAAGGAAATGGGAATCAAATATCCATACAGCAAAACATCAGTCCAAAACTGCAGAATTGCTGCAGCAGCTGCTCTCTTTGGGTCATAGTAAACAGTAGTGTCATCCGGTCTAAGATACCATCTCTTCATCCTTCCATCTTCTATATCCTCACTAGTTGTAATCCCAAAGATTATCGATCCAATAATAGACATTAAAACTAAGGTGCCAAACAAGAAGTAAATTATCTTATCCATCCTTCTCTCAATTTTGCTTCTCTTAGAAGGGGGCGGTGTTGAATTTTGAATAACCTTTGTATCATGACCTGTAAAGATAACTACCCCATAGATATAATCAGTATTCCGCAGCTTCGAGTCCCTAAGCAGAAGCTGCTGAGGGCTGAGAGGGTACTGTTGTTCTTCAATATCCATAGTGCCAACAAAGGAGTACAAACTTGCATTGGGATCTTCACACCTAATGATAGCTTTGAAATTTTGGAAGCTTGAGTCCTCAATCAGATTTGAAGTAGCATCAAGTGCTTGTTTCAGTTTCAAATTGGTTTCTCCATCCAGGTTTGTGGTTTCAACATAGCAAATTGCTTCCTCATAACTTGAGGAAAGTAAGATGAGATCAGCAGGAAAAAATTCATCTTTTTCTACCTTCACAATGTCCCCAACTTTCAGATCCTTCCATTTACTAGATTCAAAAACCCCATCACCAAAATGCACTTTCACCTTTCTGTTATTCACGGATTACCGCAGCAACAGCAGATTTATCTTCTGATTTCTCAAGAGCTTTAGTTTCTGGTGTGTCTGAGTTGACTACTATTTGTTGCATTCCTTGTCTAAGCAAACTACAGGCAAAGCTGTGAAGTTTAACACAAAATACAAGAAATGTTAGCATATCAGAATTTAACATGTTCATGGAAAGAAAAAAATCACATCAACTAATCATACCCAATATTGATTGCAGTCTCCATCTTATCTCCAGTCAAAACCCATAGTTTAATTCCTGCTTGTGCAAGTTTGTCAATGCATTCAGGAACCTGTCCCACACAACAGAAACAGTTATTCTCAATTTTTGTATCCAATTTCTGTGAAACTCACTCTATTCACTGGCATTTGGACTGGACATAAATTAACAATTCTAGTAAAAGAAATATAATTATTGCATGATTTTTTTTTTTTGGGGTCAAAATGAATGTTATTATAACCTCTTAGTATTCTTTTTTATGATATATGCAGCTCTTTAGATATTCACACTCTAAAGAGTTTGTTTTATGACATACAAAACAAATTTAATTGCATTTCATCAAGCTCTATTTTTTTTATTCAAGTCTGAAACCTACCCCATTTTGAAGTTTGTCTTCAACAGCTGTAGCACCAAGGAGAATCAAATCCTTTTCAATTTTTTCTGCCGCTTCCTCAATCATTTCCTCACGATCTGCACTCAGTGAATTCTTGGCCACAGTAAATTCCTCATTAAACCTATTGTATTCTTCTTCATCCAGTTCACGATAGGCAAGTATTAAAGTCCTCAAACCGGCATCAGCATACTCATTGATGTGTGCCTTGGTCTGCTCTTCAAACTCTCTTCCGTTCTCCGCAAGTCTTTCAAACATGACACTGGTTGAAGGTAAAGAAGATTAAATGAACATCAAGCAATCTGTAGTTATCAACACAAAACCAAAACAAACTACCCTTCCTGCAATTATGATGAAACAAGCATTTCTCATTCAGAGAAAAAATAGTGTGAGGCCTCGGTTTTGACTCATTGGTTGTTGGATGTTATTGATTGTTAGAGCAAAATTAAGAGCCATTCCATTTTCCAGTATCTTTCATGTAAGGAATTCACCATCTCCTTGTGATGGATAAACCTTACTCAATTTATAAGAGCCAAATCCTAAATCAAACTATATCACAAGCTCTAGTGCTATGTTTCAGATTACAAACCTGTCAGCACCTTTGGAAAGTAGTAGCAAAGTCCCCTCCTCATTTCTTACAATCACAGACATCCTCTTTCTAGAGCTACTGAACTCCAGGACATTCAAAAGTTTGTAAGACCTGAAAGAATGTAAACTAAATAAAATTTGTGCCCTTTATTTGAGAATGGATTAGAATAATCCCACATGGTGTAATTAACCACTTATAAGCAATAGGTAAAACATAAATGCTTGCAAGAAAATGACCTTTCAACACTCCTGCAAGAAACTGGATCTAACTCATGAAGTGAGATGCTTGTTTGAGTCCTTTCGTAGAATTCAAACCCAAGTTCTCTTGCTGCAATGACAAAAGCTGCTTCATCTGGTGATTCAGCTTCATATGTAATCCTTCCAGTTTCTTCATCAATTTCAGGTAGTGCAGTGTGGCAGATGGCCAGCAGTCGCAAGAATTTATGGATTACATCTGCCCGAGGCTCTTTAACCCAATTACCATTCACGATCCTTTCATCCACAAAATTATAACCTTTAACAGATGCCTTTTCTTCAGCAGACTCCACAACATTAGCCTCTTCCTCAGTCGCCTCTTGTGGTAAAGGTGACCCCTTTCTACTGGCCATTGCTCTCTCAACTTCAGTTACTCCACGGCCATAGGAGGTCCCAGCAATTGAACACTTGATAAATTCCATGGAGTTGCAAGTTAAAGTCCCTGTTTTATCAGAAAGTATAGTGTCAACTTGGCCAAGTTCTTCATTTAAATTTGAGGTACGAGCCAGTGCCGGCTTGTCAGCTTCCTCATAGTACATGTGAATATCTTGGTTGATAAACCTGCTCTGAAGGATTTTGACAATTTCTATCGACACATACAAGGAAATGGGAATCAAATATCCATACAGCAAAACATCAGTCCAAAACTGCAGAATTGCTGCAGCAGCTGCTCTCTTTGGGTCATAGTAAACAGTAGTGTCATCCGGTCTAAGATACCATCTCTTCATCCTTCCATCTTCTATATCCTCACTAGTTGTAATCCCAAAGATTATCGATCCAATAATAGACATTAAAACTAAGGTGCCAAACAAGAAGTAAATTATCTTATCCATCCTTCTCTCAATTTTGCTTCTCTTAGAAGGGGGCGGTGTTGAATTTTGAATAACCTTTGTATCATGACCTGTAAAGATAACTACCCCATAGATATAATCAGTATTCCGCAGCTTCGAGTCCCTAAGCAGAAGCTGCTGAGGGCTGAGAGGGTACTGTTGTTCTTCAATATCCATAGTGCCAACAAAGGAGTACAAACTTGCATTGGGATCTTCACACCTAATGATAGCTTTGAAATTTTGGAAGCTTGAGTCCTCAATCAGATTTGAAGTAGCATCAAGTGCTTGTTTCAGTTTCAAATTGGTTTCTCCATCCAGGTTTGTGGTTTCAACATAGCAAATTGCTTCCTCATAACTTGAGGAAAGTAAGATGAGATCAGCAGGAAAAAATTCATCTTTTTCTACCTTCACAATGTCCCCAACTTTCAGATCCTTCCATTTACTAGATTCAAAAACCCCATCACCAAAATGCACTTTCACCTTTCTGTTATTCACCTCAATATCCTGTAGCCAGGTGAAAGATAAATTAGACAACAGTTGAAAAAAAAAAAGAAGATAAGAACATAAAACAGCATCAAAATTTGACATCAAAAAATTTCTGCACCTAGTCTCTGATAGGACCTCAAAGAAAGCAAAGGGTGAAACAGGAAAAAAAATTTAATAGTACGGATGTAAAATCTAATTTCAAATGAACCAGTTTAGCTCTGAATGCAATGAATTGACCATAACCAAATGAAACCCATATGAAAGCATTTCTCAAAGAATCCGCCCCTCATTGTTACCAATTTTACGGAATTGAAACTTCACGAATCTTTTATACTTTACAATATCTCTCGAATATAGTTCAGGGAATTCGGTTGTAAATTGGCCTATTCCACAATATAATGCATAACTCTAAGAAAGTAAACAATAAATTTCAGGAAGCTGCATTAGAATTCACACCGATAAACAAAGTTACCTGCTTTTTGCGTCGCCAATCTTCAAGAATCTCTTTCCCCATAGTAGCTCCAATCACAACAACAAGAGGAAGAACATTGCTCACAGCAGAGTAAGGAGAGAGAGGTGTGAAAGAAAGTATTGCACAGAGAAGAAAATAAAGATTGGCAACTCTCCTAAATTGCTCAAATATTGATCTTGGAAGAAATGTTGCAAGAGTATACTTTGTGGTTCTAACATAATTGTCACTGTAATTGAGGACACTGGACTCAAAGCAATCAGGGTCATTGCAATACACTACTCTTGAGAATCCAGGTCCTCCAATCAATGAATGATCACCTTGAAATGATGTTTTACCACAAGTAAATGCATGAATTTGGCTGCTGAAATTATGCCTCTTTCTTCTATTACCAGCCATCTATAGCAACAAAAAAATTGTTCTTTTAAATGGTTGAAAGCATAAAACCCCAGGGCCCAGATACAAGACCAGCTTCTTCTTCAAGAGGAATTCTAGCTTTAAGAAAATATTCAACCAACGATTTCAAGTAACAGAAAACCATCCCATCTGGAAATCAGTTACCACAAATACTTCTAGATCTAAAGATAAACCAAGGCAAAAATCTAGGAAAACAATATGTCCAAAACTCAAACTCTGCTAAATTAACACAACTTAACTCAAAAAAAAAAAAAAGACCTTAAGAATTAAAGAGAAGTGAAAGAAAAATGTTGAGCTCCTTGAATCTAAAGACTCCAAGTCCTTACAGTACAGGAAAAAGTTTTATAAAAAAAACACAAAGCTTAAAAAGTAAAAGGAACAAGAAAAACCTTCAAACAAATAACGAACCAAAACTAAAGTAAACATGTTTTGTTGTTTAAATATTTCATGTGGTGGGTAGATGGAGGAGCCGTGGCCTGCGGGCCTCAGCTGAGCCGAGTTTGCATGTCATATTTGACTTGCAGATACAAATTTTAAGAACAAACATATAAACGTGGAGATGGGTTTGTTTGTTATTCATAATGCAATTTGACACATATACAAACTACTTCAACGACGACTCATTAAAACCAAAACAGTAAAAAAAAAAAAAAAAAACTAAAACCCAAAAACGAAATAAAACAGAAACTCCAACAGCAATCTCCAACTGTAACTGTAAGAACAAAAGGGTATCAAATAAAAATAGAAAACTTAAAAAAAAAGAAACCAAATACAAATGGGAATTATCTGGGTGGTGAGCAAGACTTTCCAGAAGGTCAAACGAAGAGCTAGCTGTACAAGAAGAATGGGAAAAAGATTTAATGATGATTAGCTCATTGAATACATCAAGTGAGCTTCAAGAAGAGAAGAAGAAGAAGAAGAAGCGAATGTACTGGGGGAAGTTGCTGCGCATGTGCTAGAATTTAGAGGGATTAAAATTAACGTTGTCAGAGAAAGAGAGTCAAATGAAAGAGTCTTGAAAGAAGTTAAAACTCAAAAGACAGAAAGAGAGAGAGAGAGAGATCCCAATGGATTTAATGCGTATTGAGTCTTGACATTTGGCCTAAGGTAGAGGTGGTGGGTATCTTTTTCTAATTTTCTCAAACAATTATTGAATTTTTGCATGAGCATTCACAAATTTGGAATATGACTCAAGAATGTTGGATCATTCTTATTGGTTCAATCATATTATTTGATGAAGGGGGTTATGTTAAAATTTTTTCACATTTTTTATACACAAATTGCATGAACTTCTCCAGTCAGAATGTCGGTTTAATTATTGTTTGTAAAATAATTTAGTTCTACGAGTAAATTCAACGGTCCTTAAATATGATCTTGACAAAATGATATATCAGAGAATTTTTGTAGGTTTTTAGTAAGTTGAAAAATATATGTCGTAATTTGTAACGAAGTAAATAAATAAATGAAATCATTTAGTTTTTTGTCTATTAATTTGATGGTGATAAAGAAGTTCCATGAATGATATATTATAAATATAAAATAAAATAAATTGACAAAAAATAGCACCTTGGTTTACAATAATTTTACAATAAAAATCGGCTCATAATCCAATTTTACAAAATTTCTCTCACAGTCCCGATGTGTCAGCTCGCAATTGGTCAATACACATTGGACGACGGACCTATAACGAGCAAATGAGACATATTTACGAGTTGACTTATGAACTATCACGAAAATTTGTAAGATTATGTTATAAGTATAGTATTATCCATATTTTATAACTAATGGTGCGGGAATTCTTGTTGTGAAAAGAAGAGGTGGTATAAATCTTCATTGAACCCCGATATTAAAAAAAAAAAAAAAAAAAAAAGGTATTAATTTATATTAATGAGATAGTTTGAGGAAGATTAAAAAAAGAAATAATAAATAATTTTAAAAGTCCAAAAAAGATTTATAAATTATTTAAGCCGAATAAAAAATTATTAAAATTAGGTAGGATTTTGAGAGGATGGGGCTGATGCATTAAGGGTCAACTCTTGAAAACCTATCACAAAGCACATGCAATTTTATTTCAACAATGTTTAATTTATTAACTATTATGAGTGAAATTTATAGATTGGTTTTAATTAGTTGCAATATCTTGCCTTGTTTATTTTAACTAAAGTTATGCAACTCGAATAATAAAATAATAATTGCCTATTTTAATTTAATAATTAAGTCATCAAATTGCCCTCTGCATTATTCTTTTCTTGCACCAATTTCTATTAGAATTTGTCAATAAAAATTTTCTCCATTTATATGGCTTATTATTAAATTATAGATCTATTTAATTTTAAATGAATTTATGATGATTATTAGAAAGGATGATAAGTATTATATTTAAATCATTTTTAAATTTAGAATCATTACACATGCCTTTTTGGTCAATATATTTTCTAGTAATTCAAAAAATCAAAACCTATAGATAAAAGTCTAATAATAATATAATAGTATTATATCAAACATATAAAACAAATAGAAGTACCCTCTGGGTGGCTGGTTCGATAGGAACTCTTGGATGTATTACTCAAGAAGTCCTAAGTTTGAGTCTTTTCTCGAGTATTAATAGGGATAAACACTGGAGCTCTTACTCGGCCAATAATTTCAAAGTCTCGGGAGATTAGTTGAAGTACGCGTAAGCTGGCCTCGACACTCCCGATCATAAAAAAAACAAAAAAAAACAAAATGGTTCTTTCAATGTTATAAGTAGTAAATCCAATTTCTCATTTTCTAGAAAATCTTTTTTTTTTTCTAGAAATAAATGTGAAAAATACTACCAAACGTTCCTCCCTTAGTTGTCCTGTAAAAGGGAAGTAGAAAAGATGAATTGTTGTACCCTAGCCAGGTTGGACTAATTCATTTATTTCAGGAAAGTCTGGGACTAAGAAATACAGTTTACTTACCCCCCAAGGTATCATAATGTACCAATTGCCCCATCAACTATATAAAATAGCAATTTTCCCCTTCTAATGTGATACATTTCACACTTAATCCGTTAAATTAAACAATAAAATCTTAATGAGATACTAAAAATAGAGAAGAAATTTCTATTTATGATACCTAAGAGGAGAAATAGTTATTTACTAATATCTCCTGGGGGGGAAATCTTAATTAATTTACCCCTAAGGTATCTAAAACAACGATTAATCTTCTATAGTCATTGGTCCATCAAAGTTAACATCATCTAACCAACACATTTTACTCTTATTCTACATTAAACACCAAAATCCTAATGGGATATAACGGTTGAGGGTGACTGATTATTTCAACTTTCAAGGGGGTAAAATTATTTAGTGATATTTAGGGGGGGAGATTGTAATTGACTTATGTATCCATCCACTTGGTGGAGGAAAGTTGCCAACTAACTAAAGACTAAAGAGGTGGAAAGTTAGTTTGAAAAAATCAGGTAAAGATTTAAAATGTTTTATAAAGATGTGAAATGTGTATTGGCTAAGGCTCATGAAAATGTCTCTTTTCAACTTTTACACATAGTCAAGGGTCTAGTTCAAGAAAATTGCTAAATTATGGGTGGTAATGATAATGATGTTACACCCACATTCTTTATTTATTTATTTTCAGAATCATACAAAAAAATCTTGTGTTCTTTATTTTTTTATGATTAGAAGTGTTCAAGCCAATTTATGCATACCTTAACAAATTTATCGGGACTCTAGAACTGTCTGTCAGGTAAGAGTTATAGTGATTAACCTTATTACTAATCGAGGAGGAACTCAGCTCGGAACCTCTTAAGTAATATATCTAAAAGTCTTTATTAAATTATTCGGAGATATTTTTTTTTTTTTTTTGAAATTAAGATTTGAAAATTGTAGAATTTAAAACAATTAAACACATAAGATTCAAAACATCTTATCTTAAATTCTCCCACTCAGTTTAGACTTTAGATTTCGTTTTTAATGCAAAAAAAAAAATTGGTAGTTTTGAGGAAATATAAACGTGCTAACTTTTACTTTATGGCTTCACATTAACACTCATCATTACTTTCATGAATTTGACTTTAGTAAAAGTACTGGCCTTTTATGAGATATTATTTAATGGTTTGATTGTATTAATTATGCCAATAATGTTTTGCTTATGATCAATTGATTGAGTGATACAAATAGATAAAAATTATATAAAATAACTACTTTATCTTTTATTTTTTATATATTTGTATGATTCAGTTGTAAACATAACATTACTCTAATTACATTATTACATTACGAAAAATTACATTAACCTCCTCCAAATTTCTTATTAATTAAGAAAAGATCTAAATAGTAAAGATATTAGGGTTCATTTCCTTTGTTCCCGACAAAGTCACTTAATTTGAACACATCCGCTCATATTGAAAGTATTAAGCGCTCTCGTATCATGGTATTTTTGCTAATTTTATAAAGAGGTGTTTGATAAATTTTTTTGGACGCTTTTGATATTGTAGCGATATACAACACTGGGGTAAATGAAATAAAACCCAACGCAATTTAACAACCCTTTGTGAGACGTAATAGTGACATGCAAGTTTGAGTATGGAATAAACTTTGGTAGGTTTGTGCTTATTTCCGAAATTTGACTAATCCTTTAATATTAATTGTTCCTTTGCGTGTTTTTCCTTCGACCCCAAAACCAAGAAATGTACTCGACCACGAGACTGTTTTACCAATTCCAAACATCATTTATTGACTTTAAAATTCAACTATTCGATTACAAGTTATTGAATTTACACTTGAAAGAACCATCCACGAAAGATGTAGAGATTTGGGTTGGTCAGTGTCTTTAAAGCTATTAAAGAAAAAAAATGTTCTTAATTATTTGAAAACGATTTCAATTTAGTTTTAGTATTCAGTTAATATATTTATGAAAAAGCTTTAATGAGAATCACGCCATGTCTGAGTCTGAGCGTTATTCCATCAATTCTGCAAATTCCCTTTTCAGATGAATCTTATTAATGCTACTAGTACTACCAACACTCAAAATACAAATTCAAAAAATATAAATAAATAAATAACTAATAAATGTGAGCAACCATTTGAAGCTGTTGGTAAAAATGTCCTTACTTATGCTACCATTCCCACAAACATAAATCGAACATCACTGCATCATCAATACTTTGAATTTTGTATTTATGCATTAAGAGGTAATGTTCAAAAATTTGATGTTTTGAAGTAAATCTGTGGGCATTGTATCAAAAGGAACTTCAAATATTAAAAATAAGTAAACAATGGCTTGCTTTATGTTTAAAACCTACAGCTTTGTAACGTTGCAACAAAATAATTGAAGGCATGCAAATTACCTCTACGAAGGACAAAGCTTGATGATGACGAGTCTTAAACAACTGTACATCAGCAGGAGAACCCAAGTTTACATATTAGGGTCTTTGAACTTAGAGTTGCCTTGTCCATGATAATTCATTCCAAACTCTTTCTTTGGCTGCTTCAATTTGAATTATAATAAGACCGCTCGGTTCAATCCCTCCATTTCTTTTTTTCCTTCTTGCCTTCAGAATGTTCCTTCTCAGTACTGCAACGTGATCTGCTGGGAGAGTCTCTCCCACTATGCTTATGATGTTTTCTTCTGCTACTACTCTTTTCTCGAGAGGATTCTTTCTTTCTCCTTCTTGACCTAGAATGGTGCCTATCTCGATGGTCACCAGATGAATCACTATACGAGTCATTGCTTCTATACCGTTGTCTTCTAGATCGTTTACTACTCCTTTCATCTTCTGAAGAATCACTGCCCCAATTTCGATGACGCCTAGACGGCGACTTAGATTTAACATTTTCCTTGGTCTTTTCCCAGTTAACTTTGCCAGGTTTATATCCAGACAAACCAGTCTCTGTATCTGTATATTTGCCACCACTATTAAAAGGGTTACCAGGAGTGGATTCATTTTTTAAGGTTTCACCCTCTTGAGCAGCGCCTCGCTGATCTGGCACCCCTTGGTCAATGGAAGTTCCACTAACAACATTTGACATAGAAGGCTTCTTTTCAGTAGACAGGATACTAGCTTTTCCAGCATTAGCATCAGCAGCTTCTTTCTCAGGAGCATGAGTCCTGGCTTTGCTTGTAGAATAGGGTAACTCAGGGGGAACCTCCAAGCCTAGTTCTTTTCCCAAAGATTCTAAGAAGTCACTGGCTATCAAATGGTTTAATGCTGTATTAGCCACTTCAATCTTCTTTTCTGGATACTCCACTTTGTTGGGATTAACTGTTTCTGCTTCATCATCAGAGTCATCGGAGAAGATAGCCTGCATACGAGTAAAATTTGTTACCAATGACAAGAGTAGTGTACCCTACTTTTAGCATGCCCTTTAAAGAAAAAAAAAAAAATTCAGGATCATATCCGTGGATGTCAAGAGTGCAGACTTTGCAGCCCTTATGTCTGAGTAAAAGTAACTATAACAAGAGGTTCAACAGATTGATGCTATGACCAAGTGTTACATGTGTATCCATATCTGAGGCAAAATTTTCACATACTAATTAACATAATAACATGCATCAATAAACATAACAAAATGTACAATTTTATTTCCATTTGGTTCTGCATGCAAGTATTTATAAACCGAGATCAGGAAACTGAGGCTACTACTCATCCTCATGCAAGTCTAATGCACAACCTTCTTTATGTATCAAATAAACAGAAAATTACCTTGTAGAGGTCAACTGGCCTCTCAACATTTTCAACTTCTACCTCAACTTCAGTATCTTTGTCAGCTACACCTTTGCTAACTTCTGGAGCATCAGATTGAGGCACAGAATACAGATTTTTAACAGATTGTTCAGATTTTGTGGGTTCCATAGAGTCTGACATGAAGATGAGAGAATCCACCTTGCTTCTCATCCGTGGAGCTGATGGTGGCTGCAAGTGACAGAATAGTTTATTTCCAAGTTAATATAATGTTCAGATGACCAAGGCTTACAGTAACAGCTTCATATTCAATTACCATATCAGGAGAAGCAATTTATACTTTTTTATAGAGCTTCCAAGAAAAAAGAGAACAATCCAATAGATGGAACCAAAGCTGAGGAATCACCCCCAACCCCTCTTTCCCCATGACAGAAGCAAGAAGATAAAGAAGGAAAAAAAAATGAAATCACCAAAAAGAAGGGAAAGAACAAGGTCAAAATCAACAGGAAAACCATCTATATTTAATTGAATTTCTGATATCATAACATTCTTTAAAAAAAAAAAAAAAAAAAAAAAAANAGTCACTGGCTATCAAATGGTTTAATGCTGTATTAGCCACTTCAATCTTCTTTTCTGGATACTCCACTTTGTTGGGATTAACTGTTTCTGCTTCATCATCAGAGTCATCGGAGAAGATAGCCTGCATACGAGTAAAGTTTGTTACCAATGACAAGAGTAGTGTATCCTACTTTTAGCATGCCCTTTAAAGAAAAAAAAAAAAAAATTCAGGATCATATCCGTGGATGTCAAGAATGCAGACTTTGCAGCCCTTATGTCTGAGTAAAAGTAACTATAACAAGAGGTTCAACAGATTGATGCTATGACCAAGTGTTATATGTGTATCCATATCTGAGGCAAAATTTTCACATACTAATTAACATAATAACATGCATCAATAAACATAACAAAAAGTACAATTTTATTTCCATTTGGTTCTGCATGCAAGTATTTATAAACCGAGATCAGGAAACTGAGGCTACTACTCATCCTCTTGCAAGTCTAATGCACAACCTTCTTTATGTATCAAATAAACAGAAAATTACCTTGTAGAGGTCAACTGGCCTCTCAACATTTTCAACTTCTACCTCAACTTCAGTATCTTTGTCAGCTACACCTTTGCTAACTTCTGGAGCATCAGATTGAGGCACAGAATACAGATTTTTAACAGATTGTTCAGATTTTGTGGGTTCCATAGAGTCTGACATGAAGATGAGAGAATCCACCTTGCTTCTCATCCGTGGAGCTGATGGTGGCTGCAAGTGACAGAATAGTTTATTTCCAAGTTAATATAATGTTCAGATGACCAAGGCTTACAGTAACAGCTTCATATTCAATTACCATATCAGGAGAAGCAATTTATACTATTTTATAGAGCTTCCAAGAAAAAAGAGAGCAATCCAATAGATGGAACCAAAGCTGAGGAATCACCCCCAGCCCCTCTTTCCCCATGACAGAAGCAAGAAGATAAAGAAGGAAAAAAAAATGAAATCACCAAAAAGAAGGGAAAGAACAAGGTCAAAATCAACAGGAAAACCATCTATATTTAATTGAATTTCTGATATCATAACATTCTTTAAAAAAAAAAAAAAAAAAAAAAAAACCTCAATTATCATAACAGAATATCTGCAAAAACTTAACAGCTGAGTTACTCTGCAAAAAATTGTTTTTTGCTTAAAAAACGAAGTTCACTAATCTTTGTACACTATTAAGAGACCAGAAAATAAAGAGCTAAATTAATTACATGGATTACCTTCCCCATATAAGGATCAATGAGATCAAAGCGCTTGCAGAGAATAGGTGAAGGACGCCATTGAAACTCTTCCCTTCTTGGATACATCTTCTTAGTTGTTAAATCTTCAGCTTGTGCATCTTTAACTTGCTGCTTTTAGAAAGTTTGATATAAGGTAAAGTTTGAAGTGATAACTCTAGAAACTAAATTTAAACCAAATAAAACATACCTCTGTTCCACCAGAAGTGAACTGCAACCCTCCCGTAGCTGGAAACCCCACAAACTGCTGTGTAGTGAGCAAGCTCTCCTCACCACTTTTCCCTTTCTGTAATGCCTCAGCTGCGGCCTCAAAATCCAGTCTCTCGCGAGCACGAGCTGCCTCTGACATATTTGTAGCTCCACCAGAATCTGTAGTGCGTAGCCCTCCTTGATACTTTTCCTTAAGAAACTGCTCAAATCTTTCTTGCTGTGCAGGATCATCTTTGAAAGGTTTTGCAACTTCTGGTAACCCACTCTATATTACACAAGAGTAAATAAATAGAAAAAAGTAACCCCAAATTTAGGTTTCTGTGAAAGCTTGCCAAAAGAGTACAACAAAGCAGTGATTTATAAAACACAAGCAAAGAACTACCAGGGAAATTCCCAACAATGACGTAATTAATTTAAACAGAATGATAGGCACTGAAAGTATACAACTTACAAATGATGCAGATGCAGATGCAGTAAATGTATCTGAAAGATTAAATTGGAGATGAACAACATTTTCAGAAGCAATAGACGAGCTTGAATCTCTTGAACTTCGTTCCAAAGGCCTTTCCCCTAACAATTGGCCACGACTTTCTGCTGTCATCTTCTGCACAGTTGGAGATGATTTCCCATCCAGCTTGGTTTGATCACTATGCTTCTGTTGCGCCTCCCACAACTTCCTTGCATAATAATCATGACCCTTTCCTCCATCAAGAAAACTAAACAACGGATTTGACTGATTCTTCTCTCTGGAAAGATCCTCAAACAATTTGCCACATCTGCCTACTAAAGTGGCAACCCCCTCGATTAAGATTTTCAAATTATTGTCCTCAGGAGGAGGAACCTCAGGGGGAGGAGGAACAAGAAGTTGGCTTCCAGCCTCAAGAGGCCCAGGAAATCTATGGTGGGGGACAAAATCCTTCGGAACCACTGGTTGATCAAATCTGGATGACAATTTGAAAACAAACAGATAAGAGTGAGTTTAAAAAATATAATAAAAACGCACAAGAGTAACTGTGTTAATACCTCCGATCTCTCAAACTCCAAACAAAAACATGAAAAATAGGGAAATTTTCATTGATCTTCTTTCAAGTTTGACATAATTAGACAAACTTCTGAAGTTGAAAAATAGACAGAGACTTCTGTTGAAATTTTTTAAGCTCATCACAAGATTACCCTAAAATCATTATAGAATTCCCCAACAAAACAGATCTATGCCTGCTTCCCAAATCAGAAGGATCCACTTGTAATTAGGCCTCAAGGTAGAGAAGGTCAATAAAATATATCCTAAAAATACTATCAACTATTAGAATTTCCTCTTTATAAACAACTAAAACTAAACACAAAATGAATCAAGATGAAAAGAATATTGCATATCTAAAATGATGCGCTAGGTGTATAAATTTCTATGCATTGAATAACTACTATCCAGTTACCTTTCCAACTGGTAGTCAGACTTTGATGCAACTATGAATCCAGGCAGAACACCCTGCTCCCTTCCTAACAATTTTTTCCTACTGTCTTTACTGGGTCCAGACGGTTCTTCATCTTCTTGAACATAAGTATCCTCAAAGTTGAAATCTGAAGAAAAGCCACAATTAGAAGGAGAAACTCAACTCATTACATTAGCATAAATTTAAGAAAGGAAAGAATCATTTTGTTGCTTATTCTCAGGCAGTACAGTCAGAGCACTTAAAAATCTGACATGTGGACAATTAGTTAACATCTGGGGATGTTCATTCCATTGCCAGTTTTTCTTAAGTGCAACTTAAAGAGGCAATGATGAATAGGCATATTACTTAAACTATTAACCCAGCAAACCCAAAGTACAAATGATGACGATGATGACAACAATGATGTAAAACTAATGCAAGAAGGTGCCCAGCGTGTTGTAGTTATACTTAACGAATATTTAAGCAAGCCATAGGTGATATGCTAAAATAGATCACCCAACGCTTAAGATGGTGACGACGCAGACTCAACAAGGAAAATTCCTGTATTTTATAGTGAAATGACAAGTGTCAATATGAATGTCCAACATATCCCCTCAATCCATCGCCCTCTCCTCTGCTAGAAAATAATCACACTATGATAACAATTCCTACTCAAAGGATTTGGCTGCCATTATTGTTTTGTCAGCTGAATTGTGTCAATGTATACAGATAATTTAACGTATATCCAAATTTAAAAAGTACAAACCAGGGGCGTAGACATCCTCATCTTCAGCATCGTATTCTTCAAGTGCACCAATGCCAAAACCAGGAGCAGCTTTTCCTGCTGATGAATCCAGTCTAATTAGTTAAATCACCACCATTTTGAAGGTATATAAATGCATGCAAGCAAAAGAAACAAATCAGACAGAGACTGAGCAAGAAACAGAATATTAAATAAAGGCATGAGAGGTAATTCAACAGATTATAGATCTTACACTTAAAACCAAAAAGACTATCTTTTATCAACAATGTCTTCCTGTATCCAGGCTCTTTACTATCAGACAACCGTGATCTCTTCTTTTCTGAAAGTAAAAACAAATGGTTTAAACACAAGACCATCAATGCAATTAGTTAGCTATATCCAAATTATAGATTTATAGGTCGAAACTACAAACCTCTGAATTCAGGAGCATTTTTAAAAGGATCGAATCCCAAACCATGCAAATCCTGCTTTGGATTAAGCACAGACACCTGCACTAAAAGAAAGACGTGATACACAATTTTCACATAGATAATAAAGTAAACTTTCTACAACAAATTATGGATATATTGGCATCGTTAATTATAAATTAGACAGAACTAATTTCATTAACTATTATTCTACATCTACTTATATCAAATCCTACTTTAGGAAGTAATCACCATATTGAAACGTTCATATTGTGTCCTACATATTTTAAATTATCCTAGACAATATCAGATATGTAATCAGAGTCCAAGTTTTGTTTCGAAAATCTGGATATGTATATCATTTATATATATGAGGAGTATCCAAGGAGCAAATATACCAAATATTTATATGGCTATCATATATTTATAATCCCACTCTCCCAGATAAGCTCAATGTTTGTCCACCTTGAAAAGCAAAACCATGTAAAATTTTAAATATTAAATGACCATCAGTATCTTCATTTCTTTCTTTTTCCAAGATTTCATGCACTGGAATAACACAATATGACACCAATGTGAATGCAATGAATCATGTTCACTTCCAAAAATTGAAGTTCCTCCAACTTGGAACCAATTTGGATGAAAGGATTAATTTTTAAACCAAGTAAAATCAGGCATGGGTTCTTTTCCTGTATGTATGGCCAAGCAGGTGAGAGTACTCCGGTCTAGCAGACTTTAGTCTAACAACTAATACAAACAACCATATCAGTACGTTCAAAAATGAGTTTGCATATTGATGTAAGAAAGATACTGACTCTTGGAATCTTCCAGCAGTTGACAAAGAATAAAACAAAAACTAAAGCATAAATCAAATGCATCATTCATCATTCATCAGTCATCACATCATGCAATCTGATTTTATAAAAGCATTCAGAGTTATGTGAAGACATGAAGTAACAGCTGATAGAAGGTAAGAGTTAGCTACAAAAGAATCCATACAGGTGTGCTTTGAGAAGACTGGATATCATCATTGACAGGATGCTCAAGAAAACTTTCACGAGGACTCTCAACAGGCTCTGAGTCAGGAAGATGTGATTTTGCGTCATCGGAAGAAAAGGCTAAGAGAGCTTTTCTAGCTTCTCTCCGTGCATCTGTAAGCAAATTGTAGACAAGAAAATAATAAGCTTGGCCCATATGGAAAAATTGATAGCCAGTAAATGTTAAAAATGGTGAGTGGATCCATTCCAAAAAATGACTGTAATTAAACATATGATAATACACATTCAGATATACAAAATATATATATATATATATATATATATATATCACCGAAAAGGTCCTTCATTTCAACTTGTGGAAAATAGAGCAAAGTTAATCCCTAGTTATTAGGAAAGCTAATCCCAATATATTCTACATTTTCCTAAGTTGAGTAAAGCATGTTAATACTAATATAAAAAGAAACACATCCAAAATTTCTGAACTATGCTACAAATTCTATGAGGAAGTAAATAATTTCAATACCATATAGAGAATCCGTATGTGAATCTTTAATTGAACGACCCGGTCGCCAACCCATCTTCAGCAGCAATTTTACACCTAACAAGAAAAGTGAGGTAGGGCTAAGAATTATGAGTTGCAATATCATAGTTACAACACTATTACGTATTAATTAAGACAAACCAATAGACTCTGTGGCTGGAAGAACTAATTCGTCAGGAACAGGTCCAGGAATTGCTGATGGCCTGCAGTGCATACAAAGCATAAAACAAACAATTAAGTTAGCCAAGTGTTGTCTGCAGGAAATGAAAGTATGACAAGAATACAAGTGTACATACAAATAGACATAAAAACACTTGCAAGTTGCCATATCCATACAACATTGCTAACCCATTAGATTATTAGTCTCTATTAAGATGATCCAATCATAAAATCACCAAAAAAAGGAAGGCAAATGCAAGATGTCATTATTCTGGGCAACTTAACAGTATGATGATAAAGTTTTTTTTGGTTGCAAACACATAAAAGTAGTTCCTTTGTACAGCATAACTCTAAGTTTTGGAATCTATATGGTTTCTCCAAGTTGAAGATGTAACTTCTCTTATTTCCATAAGCAATCTTCATCCATACTAAAATAAGAAACTAAATGTTCTCATTGCCTCTTTATAAACTGAAAACATGATATATCCTTTTACAGGAATTAGATAATCATATTACTAAAATAAGAGAGGTAGAAAAGTGGATCATATATCCACTTTGACATAATCTATCTAAATCTCTAGAATTCTGATTTCATGATCTTGAGAACCAAAACTCTCAGTTACAAACAGGCATCAATCATATAGTTAACCACACTGCTATTACATTCAATTGCCGATGAAAACACACACACACACACACATCTATATATATGCACATATATCATAAAGGCATATAAAACCTCTGCAGCTGCTCCTTCTCAGCTTGTTTACGAGCAAATTCAGCAGCTGTAAATCCAAATGTATCGAACTGCGAAGATGTCCCCAAGGATTTACCTTCCAATTCCTAAAATACAAAACAAAGTGAACCAAACATCTTGACTAAATTTAAAAATATTGTCACACCAACAAACACAGGCATGAAACTATTGGTAAAGAATGACTGCAGAATGAATATTCCTACAAAACAGATTATCAGAAGTTGAAACTCAGCAACTGAGTTTACATGAGTACAAACTCATTAAAGCATATGAGATGAAAGATGCCTGCTAAATTTCATTATAAGTTAAACCTATGCAAAATCAACTTGACCTTCACAGTTTCACAGGTCAAGTACATACTTTTCAGAACACAGACCAGAAACAAGCAGCACCACAAATTAGTCAAAAGAACCATCAAAACCAATGCAATAGTAATGCCCTTACTGGAGCATGTTCATTATATCTCGGTTACTTAGTCTCCATGTCTAACCCTAATAAAAGGGGCAATGAGGATATTGCATTGCTCATGCTAGTGCCAATACATAGATAAGGCTGAGAAATAAGCAGCCAAGTCAAAAAGAAAACCAATTTCTAGATTGGCAGGAATAGTAGATCATATCTGTTTTATATTGTTTTTGTATTCATCTTGAGTTCACTCAGAAATAATTTTTCTGAAGAAGATTATCTCTGATTCCAATTTTAAGGCAGAATTTCCATGCCAACATACATAGCCTCAGACAAGCAAGTTAAAATCCCCAGCAGGTAAAATGTTTGAGGCACAAATATACTATAATGAAATGAACAATATGATAAACTTACAGATCTCTCATCATCATCTAAAAAGTTAAGAATGTTCTGCTGTTTGACTTCAGCTCTGTTCTTTCTTGATGATGTAAATGTCTGTGGAGTCCAACCTGTAGATTCATTTCACATTGTATTAAATTAACCTGTAAGTTACACTCAGAAAATTACACAAAAAAAAAAAAATCTCAATCCTTGATTCCAAAGGAAGCAAAATATACCCTCTTTTGAGCCCACTGTATTGTAATAACCAGCAGAGAATCCACCTGTAAACGCCCCATGAAGTCTTCTTCTTCCTTCTTCATCTCTAACCTGTAGAAATATAATTTTTAAACTATGTACTAACATACATTTCTAGTTTCATAGAAATCCAAACGAACTGGGAATGTGTAGTAGCAGTTATAATTGGCATTAAACAAAAAGCTATAAGATCATACAGAATTGCATGATAAATTGGTTCCTATAATTTAATCAAACGGTTCAAATTCTATCAATCACCGCCTCATACTACTACATTCGGTTGCTCAGAAATCATAAAGAAAATCAGAAAAACTGAAAATGCATTTGAGATTTTACTGTTAATATTCTCAAAAAACATACTTGAGTGTTTTTTTTTGTTTTTTTTTTAAGAACTTTAGGATATTTTCTCAAAGCTCTTTCTACAAAACACTCCCAAAACAGCCTCAACTAGTTAAATTAAGGATTAATATTTTTTTTTTTTTTCTCAGTAATATTCAATAAACATCCGAAATTAATTTTTCTAAGCTTACTAGCCTTCAGACAACCATGCAAAACAATCATAACGCCATTTCAGATTTTTCGTCATTATAAGTATAACAAATGAAAATAACAAACCACAATAACAATAAGACGAAGCATCAGAATTGAAATTGCAAATTACTTCTCAGTTACAGTTTCAGTATCCGGAGCTTTCTAGGGAACCAAACAGTACCTCTTGTTTCCAAGGAACGAGGGTTCGGAGATGACCAGAGGCCTCGGCTTGAGATTTCTTCCGACGGCTGGTGATCTCCTCCTCGCGCTCAATCGGTGTGCCGAAGAACACGTAATCCTCTTCGTCTGAATCCATTTTTATTTTTTAATCAATTTTAATTATTTTATTTGTTATTTTTGGTGTGATAATGAAGAGACTTCGTAGAGGTTGGGTGCTGGGAAGCGAAACAAGAAGCTTTCACCGTAGCAGAGTCGAGAAGAAAAAGGGGAATGTTAATGTTACAGGGAAAGCAAAGAGCTAGCTCAATGCTTCAATTGATTAGTCGATTTGAATAGGCGATGAAATATGAAACTTTTTTTTTTTTTTTTTTTTCCGACGGCGGGCATCTGACCCAATTTACCCCACCTCCATTCATTTTAAAACTCTTAAATAATACATTCAAGAATTTTTTAGTACGTTTGGTTTATTATTTTAAATAAGATTTTGAAAATAATATTAGATAGTTAGATAGGAAAGTATTACAAGGTAAAATTTAAAAATTTATGAAAAAGCCACTAGATTTGCTAATTTAATTAAATACCCTAATATATAAAATGACAAAAACACCCCCATCACCTACGGTGCCAGATTCTGACCACCACCGCTGGAATTTAGCCGAAAAATCGTGTTACAATACAGACCGATCAGATCTGTGTCGTAACGTGTCATTATGGCGTTTTCCGGCCAGATCTATCACAGATCTGGCCGAAAAAGGTCATATCTACAGCCTGTTGTGGCCGCTACGGCCGAAAAAGGCCAAAACGACGGCCATTTCTTTGGTAGTCGTTCACGGCCAAATCTGGCTTTTTCCGGCCAGATCCGTGGTGGATCTGGCTGGAAAAGGTAAGATCGGTGAACTTCCAGCCATTTATGGTCGGCAGGTAGGCCGTTGTACAGATTCCGACTACCACCGACGGTGGTTGCCGGAATCTAGCAAGTATTGGTCGCGGATGTGTTTTTGATAATTTTTAAACTTTTTTTAGGGTGTATTTGATGAAATTAATAACCTTATAGGGTCTAAAAGTAATTAAAAAATAGGGTAATATTTCTGGAATAATATGCCAAACATTATTTGGAGAATAAGATTGGGAATATGGATAAAAATAATAAACCAAACATGCCCTTTTTATTATCCTATCTAATCACTCAAGAATCATTGTGATAGATGGTTCTTATAGAGGCTCCACTTGAAGGGATGAGCTCAACATGCTTAACATAACTTTTCGAATTCATCAAGGGATAAGTCGAACTAGTTAGGGAAATTGTTGATCCAAGTTGTGCCTTCTAAAATCGACCAAAAAGTGAGTCGAACTTATTAGTTATAATGTCGAATATGATGTAGTGTGTACATAATTGAGTGAGAGAGAATGTTATTGTCCCATATGGGATAGAAAAATGGATTCGATCTTGCACTTATAAGGATGTTTATATAGCATCATCTATTATACTAATCTTTTGGACAATTGGCAAGTGCCCAACTCATGCAAATGAGGCAATCAATACCCAAAAAGGGGGGTTATTATTAAAATGACAAAAAGTGGGTGCCTATAGAAATTAACCCATTTTTTAAAGCTTATACCTTTGAGTCCAAACCATCCAACTAATGGCCAAAATACCCTTACCCCAACCTTAGACTACTTAAAACTATTTAACACTCCAATACATAAAAAACACTCAAAATTAGTTTAACATCTCTCGTTTGAAATGTGTAAACATTATATTCAGGTATGGTCGTCCATTTTTATAAATAACTGAAATAATTTCATATTAATTGACTTTTGTTTTTCAGTTAGTGTGAATGGAACAATTTCACACTAGCTAAAATAGATAATTTAAATATTTGACTTAATTTAAGAATATCACACGGACCAAATATGCTTTACTAGTTGGTGTGGAAATTCCGCACAGAGTGGTAAAATTTTCATACTAACCCAGTATGTTTTAATAGTTAGTGTGAAAAATTTATACTAACTAACTTTTGTGTTTTAGTTAAGAAGGTTAACCCTCTTTATTGACTGTCCGAGTTCAAACCACCTTGGGATCACATGTTATATTTGTGGCTTTTCTGAAACATGGGACTTATAGGATATTCAATGGGCTCTGATGATTAGTTAAGATACACACAAACTGGTCTAAATGCTTCGGTTATTTTTAGGTAGAGTTTGGTGGTTATTACGAGCTAAAATTTGAAAATTAAAAATAGTTGAATAATTTAGGATAGGATTTTGAGAATAGGGAAACAAATATGTATTTTGATTTAAAATACAAATAAGATAAGGACACAAACACATATTTTAATTTAACTAAACTCCCCCAATAATAAATGTTTATAAATTGACAAAAATACTCTCACCCACTCATTAAATGCTGGCAACCGGCCACCGGCTGTCGGGAATATATGAGTCAGCGATGATTAGTTAAGGTACACACAAACTGGTTTAAATGCTCCGGTTATTGTTAGGTAGAGTTTGGTGGTTATTACGAGCTAGAATTTGAAAATTAAAAATAGTTGAATAATTTAGAATAGGATTTTGAGAATAGAGAACAAATATGTATTTTGATTTAAAATACAAATAAGATAAGGACACAAACACGTATTTTAATTTAACTAAATACCCCCAACAATAAAAGTTTATAAATTGACAAAAACACCGTCGTTGACTCATATATTCCCGACAGCCGGTGGTCGGTTGCCAGCATTTAATGGGTGGGTGAGAGTATTTTTGTTAATTTTGAAACTTTTATTGATGGGTATATTTAACTAAATTAACAAATATAAGGGATTAAAAAATAATCCTACCAAATACATTTTCAAATTCAAGGCTTCGTTTGGTTCAAAATTTGGGGGTTTTGGGAAAAGTTTTTTGAAAAAAGTTAAAAAAAAAAAGTTGAATTGGGCGGGTATTACGAGGTATGATTTATAAATTAATAAAATACCCCTTATGTTTGTTTTTTTACAAAATACCCCCTATGATAAAACATTAAAAGTTAACAAAAACACCCCTAACCCACCCTCAAATATCCCTAGCCGGCCACCACCATCGGAGGTGGCCGGAGTCATCTTATCGGCGCATGACCGGCTGGATCTTGCCGGTCATGCGCCGCTATGGCCTTTTCCGGCCAGATCTACGCTGGATCTGGCCGGCAAAGGCCAGATCTACGGCCAGATCTGGCCGTATTTGCTCTCAACGACGGCCAACAAACGGTCGTCGTTGATGGTCAACAACAACAATTTGTTGGCCGTCGTGACCGACTGTTACGGCCAAAGATCCGGCTGTCAACGGCCAGATCTTTGGCCTTAGATCTGGCCTTTTCCGGTCAAATTCATCGTGGATCTGGTCGGAAAAAGGCTAGATCGGCGCACTACCGGCCAGATTCAGCCGGTAGTGCGCCATCCTATTAGATTCCGGCCATTTTCCGACGGTAGTAGCCGGAATCTGGTAAATGTGGATTGTTGGGGTGTTTTTGTAATTTTTTAAAAAATATTTAGGGGTATTTAATTAAATTAAAAAATTTAGAGGGTTTAAAAAAAATTAAATAATATTAAAAGTAGTATTCCCAAAAATGAGAGTTTTTGGGTATTTTACTGTTTAACTTTTTTGAGAATACTAAGAGTAGTATTCTCAATTTTGAACCAAACGAAGCCCAAATCATATCCTCCTACTAATAATCCAATTTAACTTTTTTAAAAATACCACTCAAAATAATAAAACAAACACACCCAAAATGTTTAAAAATAAATAAAAATCTACTAAAACAACAACCGCCTCTTTTTTTTTTTTTTTTTCCCAAATAAACTTCATGCATTTCAAACAAACTTCACTCCCAAACACAAAAAGCACACAAATGGACATCAAAATTCACCGTTTCAACGTTTTAAACATTTCAAAAACATATCTAAAACCATCCAATCAACATAAATTAAAAAAAAAAAAAAATTATAAACCCTAACCCTACCTTATTTCAATCAATGAAAATCATAAATTCGAAATAGGGATTGCCTTTTTTCCAATTCCTTGCGCTAGCTAATCTCGTATCCGATTTGTTGACGAAGACGTCGACCAGATTTTTAGTTCAGGTGGTTTTTTCAAAATGGCAAATTGGGCCTATCTATATGAGGGGTAAATTTGGAGCTGCTGCAATCATTTGGATTTAAAGATACCGCTATACAAAATTTGGTAAATTTACTATAGCCCCCGTGGCTTTGGTTATTTATCTAACCCCGAAAAGCTATAGGGAAGTGATTTTTAGACCCATCAAATTGATCATATCCCTTATTGCTGAATGCACCCTTATAATATTTAAAATCTTTTTAAACCTCATTTAATACCAAAAATAATCATGCTTAATTAGGTTTAATTAGGGTTTTTATTTGCATTTATTTTCTTAATTTTAAACTTAATTAGAGTTTTTGTCTAAATCACTTTTCCCTAATTTCAAACTTATTTAGGGTTTTTTCTTACACCTTTTTTTTCCAATTTCTTAATTTTTTTTTTTTTTAACCCCTTTTCTCAATTTTAAATTTGAAACTTACTCTTTTCTTCTTTAGATTTAGATTCATCTGGTTTGTGTGACTATTTTATCCGTAACTTTAATTATATACTTTTATAAAATAAAGAATTGTTTCAAATAAAAAAATAAAATGTTTCAATGATTTAGAAAATTTAGATTTAGTGTTATGTAAGAATTAAATGTTAAAAAGTAAAATAAAAAATAAAAATAGATAATTGGTGTATTTAGAAATTATTCTGTCATTAAAATTAAACTTGTCAAAAGACACAAAACAAAGATACATTTAAAAATAGGGAATACTAATCAATTTGATAGGGTTTAAAAACAGTTTCCAAGATATATTGTGTTAAGGTGAGAATGTCAAACAATAATGTTAGGTCTACAACATTTTCTTACAACCCCCAACATAACAGTTTGTCATTGGTTAGCTCGCAAATGGACAAGCAGCATACAAGCAGTCGAAACTCAATTTGTGAGCTGCCTAATGATGAGTGGCCACGTCAGAGATTGCGAGATTAGGTTATGGATATAGCATTTCTCAATATCAAATAAACCCAAGTTCAATAATGATGTTATTTATTGACATGACCATAACCTCTACAACATGACAAAGTAACCAACGGAAAGATAGGATGATATTTTTTTTTTAAAGGAACGGGGGTGTCCAAACCAGTTTACACGTACCTTAATTAATCTCTCAGAACCCTAGAACTACCAACCAAGTAAGAGTTCTAGTAGACACCCCTATTAGGGGTTGTCCCCTAAGACCCTAGAACTATCAACCGGTAAGAGAACCAGTGACCACTTATATTAAAGGCTGTCTCTTGGGATCCTAGAACTACTAGTAGAGTAAGAGATCTAGTGACCATTTTTTTTTTAAGACCAGGTGTGTCAAGTCTAGTTTGTGCACATCTCAACTAATCTTATGGAACTATTGGTTGAATAAGAGTTTTAGTGACAAACCTATTAGTAACCGTCCCCCGAGACTTAGGAATTACCAGTTGAATAAGAGATTTAGTGACTACCTTTATTAGGGGTTATGGGGACTTAGACTCGGGAAATCATGTTAGATCCTCCTTTTGCTTTTTTATTATCAAGGGGACTTGAACTTGAGAGATCGTGTTAAATTCTCCTTCGTTATTTTATCATCAGATCACCCACTGGTTATTAAGATATGATGATATTTCTTCACACTAATATTAAAAAAACCTAACATATACGTTACAAACACTCCAATTTTTCAAATTTGTTAAACCTACTTACTTAACTTATCTATCAAAGAGGTCACGACAACAACACATGACAAGATTAATCAAACTAATATTTTTTAAACAATAATATTATATTTACAAAGAAATCTTACAAAGATTTTCATATAAAGTGAGGTAGCAAAAAATGAATGGAAGAGTGAAACAAAAAGTCAAACTTATTAAATTTACTATTCCATTTATTTTTTGTCACATTACTTTGTATGAAGATCTTTGTAAAATTTTTTTATAAGTGTAATATATATTTTTTTTAAATAATATAAAATCCAAGAAGTGTAGTATTACTTTTTTTTAAATAATATAAAATCCTTCTGGCGTATAAACCGATCCAAATAAAAGTCGGATCCATCCACCCATCCATCCAAAATGAGTCCAATTAGTCCCGAATAATATGATATTCTTGGTCAAACTCGAAGCCCATTAATCTTTTTCAAAGCCCAATTAGGCTTTGTCTTTTATGGATAACATAAATCAATTTAATCAAACCTCTCATTGGCATCGTCAATGAGACAAAGTTAAATAAAAGTACACTTGGAAAGGGATACCCTCTCTCTCTCTTCCCAATATCAATAAAATAAAAATAAAAAATTAAATACAAAAAATAATGGTCATGAAAACAACAAACAGAGCCCAACAATCCCAACGCGCCCTTCCCCCACATGTACAACACGCTCCAACCACCTTATCCTTGCGCGCGGGTCCCAGATATAGTCAATCCATCTGAACGCGCGAAATCAAGCGCGTGGAAAAGCGCAGGAATCAACTGGTTGTTTGTTTGCGTTTTGCCCTAATCGCATGCGAGCAAGAACTCTCTCTCTTATCGTGAAGAACAACAACCACCATCACAAGTCATGGCTTTGTTTGATAAATAAAAATCCATTATATATCAACCATGTCCCTCCCTTCGATTTCTCCCTCAACTCGGATCCTCACTCGTCGCTTGACTCGGTTTTTGCAAACGTAGAATAGAAGTTTCTTCTCTTTCTTTCTTTCTTCCTTTCGACTCACTGACTCGACTCGCTGACTCGGTGAGTTCAACCTCTCCGCTTGTGGTTATCCCCTCAGATCTGTTTATTGCTTGTTTGATGATCGAGCGTGTTTCGTTTTTGTTCGATTTCATTGCGATTTTGTTTAGATGTTAATAATTTGTTTATTTTCTGATTATTTTTGAAATAATTGAAGATTAGATATGGAGCCAATGGATATTGTTGGCAAGTCAAAAGAAGATGCGTCGCTTCCAAAAGGTTAGTTTTTTAATTTTTTTAATTTTATTTTATTTTGGTTAATTTCGATAATTTCGTGCTTTTTCTTAATTTTTTTTTAATTGAAGGTATTTTGTGGGTAATTTTAATTCCTTCATGTGCAAAACAAGGATAAATTAATTTAAGTTGCTTTAGAATTGAAGTAATACAGTTGTTTGTTTGTGGAAACTTTTAGTTGTGAGCTTACAATCATATAATAACTCAAGTGAAGAATGAAAACTTATCATTAGTTCAATTGAGCCATGTTCGATGGAGTTTGCTTAGGTTGCAAGACATGTTTGTTGTGAGTAATTTTCAAAGAAAATTGGAATTGGAAGGTAGTGTTTTGAGCTATGCGTACAAGTCTAAAAAACGAAAAGGAGTTTCTAATCGTACAGTACTTTGCAAGCAGAGAGGGAGATGGGGCAATGACAGGAGATAAAATGAGAGGTTGTGGTGATGACTTCTTCACTTGAAAAGACGTTGGGGAAGTTTTTTTTTTTTAATGAGGAATTATGTTTTTATTTGGTTGCTTTAAAAGGAAAAGGGGGAAAAATGGAGACTCTTTTGAGGTGCAAAGGTACTAACTAAGTGGGGTTGAGGGCTGGAAAATCTGAAGTCTTGTATCAATTAAGGCTCATGAGAGGGACAGGGTGTTGGGATTAGTCAATTTGTCATGAAGATTTTAGCTGGATTGTTTTGGAGGATTGGTGGCGGTAAGAAAGAAAGGGCCTATCAAGGAAGCTCTGAGGAAAACTGGGCTTGAATCTTCATGATTTAGGAGAGTAAGATGGAGATCATTGAAATGAGGATATAGGCTGTTGGCAATATCCGAGATTCTAAGTGAGTGGGAATTTTACCCTTTTTAGGTGTAAATCAAGATGCTTGGTAGTGTTTCTGAATGTTCAGACTGTATAAGTGTTTGAATTTGTGACCTAAGATTTAACTTGATGTTCTGAGCTTATGTCCATAAACAGACTTAAATTGTTGGTACTGACTTTAAGATGTGAAACTAATGTTGATGCCCTTGCTTGTGAAGTTGCATGTATTTGAACACTTCTAACAATACTTATGTCCACCACCCTAATGGGACCTCGTGTCTCCTCCAGATACATGTGCTTAAAGAATAGCCATGAACAGGGCCAACTAAATAAAGTGGGACCTCAGGACCCATCTAACTCGAATACATGATGATGTATGCCAAAGAACTCACTCGTGGATGGTATTTATTCTTTTGTACTAATATATATATAACCTTGGGCAATTTTTTTTCAACACTAATATTTTATTACTTGACACAATCTATTTAATTGCTACTAAAATATGAATTTTGACAAAAAGCTGTACGTGGATCATATAGAGTTTTTGTATAGAAATGATTTTTTTTCTAAGAATATATGGTTTGTGATACTTTTTATGGTTCCTTATGGTCATGTATGTCCATTGTCTACAGCTCATCTCTTCCTCTTTAATGTCTCAAGCTCATAATACGTTTTCTATCTTTTTTATAGCTGCCTTGCTCATGTTTTTTACATGTACAAAAAATTCTGACGCTGCCTCTCATTTTCATATTAAACAGTTGTGAAAGTTTCTTAGTTGTGTACTTGCTCTTGTACTCGAATGGTTCTTTAATTGGGAGAAGCAATCTCTCTTTTATATCAGTATTGATTGCTACCTGTAGAAGCTTTGGACAATAGTTGGTTGTATGCTGGGTATGTATCGGCCTCAGGCTTTTGTTGTGGTTGCTTGTGAGACAGTTTAATTCTTCTTGACAATGAGGTGTAGTAGTTGTTAGGACTGTACCCTAGCTGACCTATCCATTTACTTATGTAGGTATTTGGTGCAATCACCTGTCTGAGAAACAACTGGTGCAATGTCCAGTCCTAGTTGTCCTAAACTAATACCCTGGCTATCTAATAGACACACTGCTTGACTTCCTCTTTGATTTCTTTGTACTGACTTGGTTTACATTTATGGTAATTAAGTTGGGTTTTCACCATTTGTAATCAATGAATTCAATAGATACTGACATAACTTGTAAGGTATAGCTTGTATGCTTCAATCTCTAAGTTCATTGTATCAATCATCTGTAAGAAACGAGACATACATATACAGTCACACAGTTTAAAGAAAAAGATACACCTCTTATGTTATGTTGCAAGTCTATACTAGCTCTTGATTATTATCAAAGTCTGACCCTTTGGTGTCTACTGGGTATTTTTATTCATGTTGCTAACAATAATTTTTCTTTTCAGCAACAATGACAAAAATTATAAAGGAGATGTTACCCCCAGATGTTCGTGTGGCAAGAGATGCTCAAGATCTTTTGATTGAGTGTTGTGTAGGTGAGATAACTGCAGGGTTTTGTAGCTTTTATTTATCAAGTGTCATAATATTATATATATGATAATATATATATATACCAAGACAATAAGCTCGTATGAGAGAAAATGATGGCCTTTGTGCTTGAATGTTTAAGTGATCTAATAAATGAATTAGTTTTGGTAGTTAACCTGGCTCCACATTTCATACTGCAGAACCCCTAATGTATCTAGCTTATCTAGTACTTTGTATGGTTGCTTTGAACTGATTAGCTTGAAAGTTTCTGGTTCTTTATGATGTCTATATACATACATTTCTGTTTTTGACATTTTTTAAATATATTTCTTTGCAAAACATTTTGCATTCATTTTGTACTGTTCCCTATCACCGACTTTTTCAACTCTTGATTACTTAATGGTTGTCTAAACATTATCATGGATGTTCAAACCTATGTTTTCTTCGAACGAGAAGTTTCATTTCCTTACTTTTTGCAGAGTTTATTAATCTCGTTTCCTCTGAGTCCAATGAAGTTTGTAGCAAAGAGGATAAGCGAACAATTGCGCCTGAGCATGTACTGAAGGCTTTAGAGGTATTTATTTATTTTTCCCCAACATACTATTTCATGTCTAAATTTGGTTTTTTTTATCCTTGTCATTTGGATATTTGCTTTTCTTTATTTTATCAATCTTCCATCATTAATTATTGCAATAAGATTTTCTGCATCCCATGGAGGTATACCTATATGTCAAGTCTTAAGCTTCTGTTTGTTTGGATTTAATTGTCTGGCTCATGCTTATTACCTCTGATGCTGTTATGCAGATAATATATGATAACTTAGAATAATCCTCTTTTTTATTTGTTTATTTAGTGAGTAAAGAATAATGTATCTTTTAATGCTTCAGTCCTCGAAAGTTTAATAAATGGATAATGGGTCAGTATTTTTCTGTGTCTGAGCAATAAAATAGTTATTATCTGATCTTCTAATTGTGTTTGGTCTTAACAGCATTAAGAAGAGCCCTTTTTTTAAAAAAAAAATTAATGCTGTTATCTTTCTTTCATTTAGTTCTCATATTAAGTTTAAATCTGGAGCCAGAGCTCAAATTATGACGAGATCATAACTTTCCTTTAAGCCTATTTGATTGTTGCAGTAGAGCCTACTTTCACTCTTAAGCAAAAGCACAAGGATATGTCAAGCTATTAGTCAAAATTGAGGCAGTTTTTTCAAATACAGCTAATAGCTCCGTTGCGGACACAACAGTAGTTATTTGACTCTTTCCTGCTCATTATTAGTTAAACAGTCTTCACATGATGCCTTCAAAACTATCTTGCTGGAGGTTTGATCCTAACAAGCCAAGCTCACATGATATATGATTAGTTGGCAATGTGCACTGCCCTTGTTTACTTCCATACAGCTGATTTGCCCTCTGATTTTGTAATGATGCATAAATGTTATGATTTGCATGATTTATAAGTGGAAGTAATAATGTTATTTATACATGTGGTATATTAGGTTCTCGGATTTGGTGAATACATAGAAGAGGTCTACGCTGCTTATGAACAACACAAGATTGAGACTATGGTAATTGTCTACCTTTTTTGGTGCTCCTTGTGTGTGTCTGAATTTAAGAATATTTACATTGAAAAACTGGGGCATTTTTTTTCAAATACTTGAAACCTTGTCAGGCAACTGTGTCCGTTGGTTTAACCTCACTTTATTTTCCTCCCAATACTGTACTACATAAAAACACATTTTGTTCTTTTTCTGACACCAAAAGAAGAAAAAGAAAAATGCAATAATTTAAATTCCTCTGCTAAATGATTTTTTGACACTGCTAGATTATCACATTTTTCTTAAAGCCTTTTCCTTTTGTTTTTATTTTCATGCCTTTTGTGGTACCACTTACTTACTTGTATTGGGCAACTGAATTGTTGATTCAGAAATAGGTGGAATTATGTGGGTTCACTTTTTTGAACACAGCACGAAGTATATACTCTAATGTTTTTGGAACTGCCTTCCAGCAGGACTCTTTGAAAGGTGGCAAATGGAGCAATGGAGCAGAGATGACCGAGGAAGAAGCCGCGGCTGAGCAGCAGAGGATGTTTGCCGAGGCGCGTGCAAGAATGAATGGTGGAGCCACTGCCCCTCCCAAACAGCCAGACCTTAACCCAAGTTTAGAGAGCTAACTATAGGACTTTAATTTTCTTCAACCATAGGCAAGCAATCCTTGACTCTTCCATTTGTGCTTTTAGTCTCTTATATTATGTAAACGAAAAAAAAGAAGAAAAAAAAAGCCTCTGTGAGTGCAGTGGCCTATGTGGATATGCACTTCAGTTTGTACTTTATGGATGGATCATGTCTATAACTTAATGTAATTAGTGAGAGTTTGTCCAATTTCTGTCACTTCAACTACATATTTAACTTGATTATTAGCCATATTCAGTCTTGTATCAATTAAGGCTCATGAGAGGGACAGGGTGTTGGGATTAGTCAATTTGTCATGAAGATTTTAGCTGGATTGTTTTGGAGGATTGGTGGCGGTAAGAAAGAAAGGGCCTATCAAGGAAGCTCTGAGGAAAACTGGGCTTGAATCCTCATGATTTAGGAGAGTAAGATGGCAATCATTGAAATGAGGATATAGGCTGTTGGCAATATCCGAGATTCTAAGTGAGTGGGAATTTTACCCTTTTTAGGTGTAAATCAAGATCCTTGGTAGTGTTTCTGAATGTTCAGACTGTATAAGTGTTTGAATTTGTGACCTCAGATTTAACTTGATGTTCTAGAAACTATGATGTTCTGAGCTTATGTCCATAAACAGACTTAAATTGTTGGTACTGACTTTAAGATGTGAAACTAATGTTGATGCCCTTGCTTGTGAAGTTGCATGTATTTGAACACTTCTAACAATACTTATGTCCACCACCCTAATGGGACCTCGTGTCTCCTCCAGATACATGTGCTTAAAGAATATCCATGAACAGGGCCAACTAAATAAAGTGGGACCTCAGGACCCATCTAACTCGAATACATGATGATGTATGCCAAAGAACTCACTCGTGGATGGTATTTATTCTTTTGTACTAATATATATATAACCTTGGGCAATTTTTTTTCAACACTAATATTTTATTACTTGACACAATCTATTTAATTGCTACTAAAATATGAATTTTGACAAAAAGCTGTACGTGGATCATATAGAGTTTTTGTATAGAAATGATTTTTTTTCTAAGAATATATGGTTTGTGATACTTTTTATGGTTCCTTATGGTCATGTATGTCCATTGTCTACAGCTCATCTCTTCCTCTTTAATGTCTCAAGCTCATAATACGTTTTCTATCTTTTTTATAGCTGCCTTGCTCATGTTTTTTACATGTACAAAAAATTCTGACGCTGCCTCTCATTTTCATATTAAACAGTTGTGAAAGTTTCTTAGTTGTGTACTTGCTCTTGTACTCGAATGGTTCTTTAATTGGGAGAAGCAATCTCTCTTTTATATCAGTATTGATTGCTACCTGTAGAAGCTTTGGACAATAGTTGGTTGTATGCTGGGTATGTATCGGCCTCAGGCTTTTGTTGTGGTTGCTTGTGAGACAGTTTAATTCTTCTTGACAATGAGGTGTAGTAGTTGTTAGGACTGTACCCTAGCTGACCTATCCATTTACTTATGTAGGTATTTGGTGCAATCACCTGTCTGAGAAACAACTGGTGCAATGTCCAGTCCTAGTTGTCCTAAACTAATACCCTGGCTATCTAATAGACACACTGCTTGACTTCCTCTTTGATTTCTTTGTACTGACTTGGTTTACATTTATGGTAATTAAGTTGGGTTTTCACCATTTGTAATCAATGAATTCAATAGATACTGACATAACTTGTAAGGTATAGCTTGTATGCTTCAATCTCTAAGTTCATTGTATCAATCATCTGTAAGAAACGAGACATACATATACAGTCACACAGTTTAAAGAAAAAGATACACCTCTTATGTTATGTTGCAAGTCTATACTAGCTCTTGATTATTATCAAAGTCTGACCCTTTGGTGTCTACTGGGTATTTTTATTCATGTTGCTAACAATAATTTTTCTTTTCAGCAACAATGACAAAAATTATAAAGGAGATGTTACCCCCAGATGTTCGTGTGGCAAGAGATGCTCAAGATCTTTTGATTGAGTGTTGTGTAGGTGAGATAACTGCAGGGTTTTGTAGCTTTTATTTATCAAGTGTCATAATATTATATATATGATAATATATATATATACCAAGACAATAAGCTCGTATGAGAGAAAATGATGGCCTTTGTGCTTGAATGTTTAAGTGATCTAATAAATGAATTAGTTTTGGTAGTTAACCTGGCTCCACATTTCATACTGCAGAACCCCTAATGTATCTAGCTTATCTAGTACTTTGTATGGTTGCTTTGAACTGATTAGCTTGAAAGTTTCTGGTTCTTTATGATGTCTATATACATACATTTCTGTTTTTGACATTTTTTAAATATATTTCTTTGCAAAACATTTTGCATTCATTTTGTACTGTTCCCTATCACCGACTTTTTCAACTCTTGATTACTTAATGGTTGTCTAAACATTATCATGGATGTTCAAACCTATGTTTTCTTCGAACGAGAAGTTTCATTTCCTTACTTTTTGCAGAGTTTATTAATCTCGTTTCCTCTGAGTCCAATGAAGTTTGTAGCAAAGAGGATAAGCGAACAATTGCGCCTGAGCATGTACTGAAGGCTTTAGAGGTATTTATTTATTTTTCCCCAACATACTATTTCATGTCTAAATTTGGTTTTTTTTATCCTTGTCATTTGGATATTTGCTTTTCTTTATTTTATCAATCTTCCATCATTAATTATTGCAATAAGATTTTCTGCATCCCATGGAGGTATACCTATATGTCAAGTCTTAAGCTTCTGTTTGTTTGGATTTAATTGTCTGGCTCATGCTTATTACCTCTGATGCTGTTATGCAGATAATATATGATAACTTAGAATAATCCTCTTTTTTATTTGTTTATTTAGTGAGTAAAGAATAATGTATCTTTTAATGCTTCAGTCCTCGAAAGTTTAATAAATGGATAATGGGTCAGTATTTTTCTGTGTCTGAGCAATAAAATAGTTATTATCTGATCTTCTAATTGTGTTTGGTCTTAACAGCATTAAGAAGAGCCCTTTTTTTAAAAAAAAAATTAATGCTGTTATCTTTCTTTCATTTAGTTCTCATATTAAGTTTAAATCTGGAGCCAGAGCTCAAATTATGACGAGATCATAACTTTCCTTTAAGCCTATTTGATTGTTGCAGTAGAGCCTACTTTCACTCTTAAGCAAAAGCACAAGGATATGTCAAGCTATTAGTCAAAATTGAGGCAGTTTTTTCAAATACAGCTAATAGCTCCGTTGCGGACACAACAGTAGTTATTTGACTCTTTCCTGCTCATTATTAGTTAAACAGTCTTCACATGATGCCTTCAAAACTATCTTGCTGGAGGTTTGATCCTAACAAGCCAAGCTCACATGATATATGATTAGTTGGCAATGTGCACTGCCCTTGTTTACTTCCATACAGCTGATTTGCCCTCTGATTTTGTAATGATGCATAAATGTTATGATTTGCATGATTTATAAGTGGAAGTAATAATGTTATTTATACATGTGGTATATTAGGTTCTCGGATTTGGTGAATACATAGAAGAGGTCTACGCTGCTTATGAACAACACAAGATTGAGACTATGGTAATTGTCTACCTTTTTTGGTGCTCCTTGTGTGTGTCTGAATTTAAGAATATTTACATTGAAAAACTGGGGCATTTTTTTTCAAATACTTGAAACCTTGTCAGGCAACTGTGTCCGTTGGTTTAACCTCACTTTATTTTCCTCCCAATACTGTACTACATAAAAACACATTTTGTTCTTTTTCTGACACCAAAAGAAGAAAAAGAAAAATGCAATAATTTAAATTCCTCTGCTAAATGATTTTTTGACACTGCTAGATTATCACATTTTTCTTAAAGCCTTTTCCTTTTGTTTTTATTTTCATGCCTTTTGTGGTACCACTTACTTACTTGTATTGGGCAACTGAATTGTTGATTCAGAAATAGGTGGAATTATGTGGGTTCACTTTTTTGAACACAGCACGAAGTATATACTCTAATGTTTTTGGAACTGCCTTCCAGCAGGACTCTTTGAAAGGTGGCAAATGGAGCAATGGAGCAGAGATGACCGAGGAAGAAGCCGCGGCTGAGCAGCAGAGGATGTTTGCCGAGGCGCGTGCAAGAATGAATGGTGGAGCCACTGCCCCTCCCAAACAGCCAGACCTTAACCCAAGTTTAGAGAGCTAACTATAGGACTTTAATTTTCTTCAACCATAGGCAAGCAATCCTTGACTCTTCCATTTGTGCTTTTAGTCTCTTATATTATGTAAACGAAAAAAAAGAAGAAAAAAAAAGCCTCTGTGAGTGCAGTGGCCTATGTGGATATGCACTTCAGTTTGTACTTTATGGATGGATCATGTCTATAACTTAATGTAATTAGTGAGAGTTTGTCCAATTTCTGTCACTTCAACTACATATTTAACTTGATTATTAGCCATATTCTATTTCTGGGATGACGAGAGATTGAAGCCATTTGATGCAAAAGCAGAATGTATTTTCTTACTAATGCTAATGATTTTTGGTAAAATAAGGTACTTACTGATGTGGCAACCGCACTTTGAAAGGTTGATTTAGCAACTTAGGATTGAAGTCACTCGGCATACAAAATTTGTGGGGTGGGACCATTTGTGACGGTCCATATTGAAATTGATTTAAAAAAAAGGAGAATTTTGAAAGGTCCCACAGACAATGAGGTGTCAGCTCGCAGGTAGCTAATATGTAGACGAATCAGGCAACATTTATAGTAGAGAAGGAGATTGATCATTGATGAGAGTGTTGATTGAAGAGCTCCTTTGAACAAAACAACAATTGGTACAGTAAAGGTTTATACAAATAATATGACATGGTGACTGTGATTTTGAGCACGCTGAATGTGAATAGAAATGGGTTTTGGTTTGTGTGGTTTGAGGCTGCAGTAGCAATGCTTTTTTAACTCTTTTTAGAATTCAGGTCAAAAGAGTCGGTCAAGCAAAATGCTAATGCAAATCCCTCTCTCTCTCTCTCTCTCTCTCTACCCCACAAAGAAAGTGAAATAACACACACATTGTCCCCTTAGATTCCTTTCTTTTCCATTTGAAACACACCCTCTCTCTTTCTCTGTCTTTGTCTCTCCCTCTCTTACTTCCCAAATCAGTTGGTGGGTCAGTCTATGTTTCTTTTGTCAGGATTCTCTGCCACTATAACAAAGGACTAGAAACAAAGAATTTAATGGTAAAAGCCCCACAAATAGATAAAAGAGAAACAAACTTCAACCTCTCTCTCCCTCACTCTTCCTCTTCTAATAACTCTTCCCAATTCCCACTCACTTAAGCTTTATGAAACCAAACATGGCTAGACCCTCTCACGATTTCTCCTCCAAGAGACACTTTCATTGGACCAAAAAAGTTGGAAGTGATCATGAAGATGATGATGCTCCTCCAAACTTTAAGTCCTCTGAAGAAGAGAAAAAAGAAAATACTAAGACTCACCATTCTGCAGCTTCCATTCCCACTCCAAAGAAGAAACTTCCGGCTGTTGCAGTTGCTAGGCTTAGAACTGTCCTTGCTGCATTTGGTAAGAACCGATCAGGCCTCCCTCATGGCCTCGGCCCCCGGGTTGTGGGAACCCTTTTTGGCTCCCGGCGAGGCCATGTACATTTTGCATTCCAAAAGGATCCCAATTCTCCACCTGCCTTTCTTGTTGAACTTGCCACACCAATTAGTGGGTTGGTCAGGGAGATGGCTTCAGGGCTGGTTAGAATTGCACTAGAGTGTGATAAAGAGAAGGAAGAGGAGAAGAAAGCTGTGAGATTGCTGGAAGAGCCCATGTGGAGGACTTATTGTAACGGGAAAAAATGTGGCTTTGCAACAAGGAAGGAATATGGGGATAAGGAAAAGAGGATATTGAAAGCTGTAGAGCCAATTTCAATGGGTGCAGGAGTTTTGCCAGGGAGTAACGGAGATGAAACTGGAGCTGGAAATGATGGTGAACTCATGTACATGAGGGCTAAGTTTGAGAGAATTGTTGGATCAAGAGATTCAGAGGCTTTCTATATGATGAATCCTGATAGCAATGGAACTCCTGAACTTAGTATCTATTTACTTAGAATCTAATTTCGTGGAGGTTCAAGTTCAAGTTCAAGTTGAAGGTCCAAGCAACTCAATTTCCATTTTGTGCTTTTTTTTTCTGATCTTTGAGAAGGGGTAAACTGGTGATACAAGTTAAGCTACTAAGAGAGCTCTTCATCCATGAAAATGGAGGTCTAGCTTCCTGCAAATTTTCTGTATTTTTTTTTTTTTTTTTTTTTTTTTTTTTTTGAGAAAATGGGAAGTGGGGACTATTGTACTATGTTAGATTTAGGTGGAGGGGGGCAATACTTATAACATTATGGTTAGGTGGGGGGGTTCATGAAGGTGTGTATATGCATAGCTTTTTATTTTATTATTTGGTTTAATTAAGTTTAGAGCCATTGAGCCTTGTGCAAATCATGATTAGTCTCTTCATTTTGGTGTTATTTTTCGTTTTGCGGCAAGTGCCCAACCCAAGTTATTATAACATAAAAGTATTTGGTAGTATCAATACCTAACTCATTACATATAAACTGGTATGAATGAACAATACAGTGTACTTATGTAGCCAAAAAGTTAAAAAAAAAAAAAAAAAGAAAAAAAAAAGTGTTAATTATATAAAAATGTGTAGTATTTGGAATTGGATTTACTTTAGTAATTTTTATGTGGGCAAAAAAAATGATTGATGCAAATGATCTGTGGTTTTTGTGGGTTCTGCAAATGATTGTTCATGATTTTTATCATAGGAGTCTCTCAATGATAAGTCCAAATTTCTTTAGGGTCTTTAGTTTTCCCTGTTGAATTTGGATCCCTTTTCTTGGCCTATTTGGGTATTTTCTTCATATAAAGTTTCAACATTTGGTCTAAAAGAACAAGATGTTCCAATCATTGCTTTTGGTGCATAATTCTGTGTGGATTGATTGATCCCAAGATAAATTTATTAAAGCCCCTAATCATAGAAGTCATCAAAAGCAATATATATATACAAAATTAAATGTATTTATTTATTTATTTGTATATCCAAAATCCTGACAGCAGAATTGGGCTTTTTCCCACTTGTTGACTGCTTTTTCATTCTCTCTTCTGGGTTTCAAAAACACACTCAACTGTTTCATTCTCCTTTCTTTTTTCTAGTTACCACTCAAAGTACATCCCACAAACTGTAAAAAATCAATGTCTCTGTTCCTAAATGACATCTTTAACCTTTGGAAAAGTTTACATTCATATTCTTTACATGGGTATTTTTGTAATTTTGGTATAAAGGTAGTTGTTGTTACCATGCCCGTATGTAGCCCCTTTTTTCATACCCTAATTTGAAGAAATCTTAAACTCTGAATAGGGAGGAAGCTTCTTTATAGAAAATTGAACCCTGAATCTCTATATTAGAATCTAAACCATTAATTTAAGCTCAAAGTTATAAATTTTTAATGTATAAATCAAAGGTCATGATCAGTAGTTAGTTTCACATGCAAAATCAGAATTAATAACTAGCATCTAATTTTGTTGTCACATAGTAAAAGCGTCCATACGATTTAAACTTAGAGCCAGTTTGGTTAGAATTATCTAACCATCAAAAGAGTTGATAAACACTTTTAAAGTTATCAGAGTTGTTTTTTTATAATCAGGATGTCCGAATCAGTTTGCGCACACCTAAAATTCATTGAACACTCCACAAACCTAATGAGTCAGATAAGTCATAAATATGATAGATAACTTCTTTGTAGGACTCGAATATAAAACCTTTATATAACTCATCCAAATGATTAAAGTCTTGTCGTCTAACCACAAATTAATGGTTTGTTTATAGGATTTTCTAACTTCTTCTATGAGAGCTTATTTAAACTATTGAAATTCCAAAAATATTCTTGTATAAGCTAAACTTGTATATAAACTCTAATGGAGGCTTAAAAGGATGTAAAATTGGGTAAGAAGAAGAAGAAAAAGGGAAAGGGAAAAGGAAAGGGAAGGTAAAATGATGTGGAATACAGCTGGGATAGAAACAAATCCGTTAAGATGATCAAGGGCACAGAACTCGAGGCAATTGCTTTGATCATCATCTATTCATCATTCTTGAAAAGATTCAAAAGCTAAGGGAGGCCATGCTTTTATTTATTTTAAGCCACTCTATGTGCAGCAATACCCTCTACTCAAAGCCCTCTAAAGCTGACCTCCATTCCCCATTTTACACCTCTTTAAAGTCTCTATACTTGCCCTACTTGTTTCCATACTTTTCTGCTATTTCTCCTCTCTCTTTTGGACCATTTTTTGCGCTTTTTTTTTTTTTTTTTTAATAACACTAAAGCTCTGTATTAGCTTTTCTACCCTCCCCCCCACTGTTACTATTGCAGCTTCTTGTATAAGAACATATCCCTTTTTTCTTTTTTCTTTCTTGAGTTAATTCAAAATTTTCGAGAATCGGTAACGATGTCGAAATGACCCAATAGTTACTTTTTATAGGGATAATCTTGCCGTTTTCAAGAAGCTATAATGTTATTGAGTCATTTTCGATAACTTTAGCGGAAATCTAGTGAAATCACTTTTAGTATTCGCGTTTTTTTGTAAAAATATATACTTTAAATGATAATAGATGAAGGGGTTAGACTTATTTCGATGAAAAGTAACATGCCATTTATAATGCTAGAGCAACTAAGCAAAACCAAACTTCCCCTAGACATTAATAGGGGCGACCACTGAAATTCTTACCCGATCGACAATTCCAAGACTTCGAAGGACTAATTGAGGTATACATAAACTGGTCTGAACACTCCAGTGATAAAACATATTTAATGGTTAATCATTTTGTTTTTGTTTTGCAAAAACATATTATTGTGTTGCAAGTTTCAAAATGAGTGGAATGGATTTTAACTGTTTAGATAAAGATTATTATTATTATTATTATTATTATTATAATCTGAGCAGTTGATAAAATGATTTAATGGAGGGATAAAAGATATGAGTATTATATAGAAAAGGATAATGATGCAACCATACCTGAGGGCCTTGCATTTGCTTGAAATTCATCATCAAACATTATTATTAATTATAATCATTCATCCCCATTAACATTATCCCATCCCAAGTATGCCTATGTGTTAGAGAAACTTATTCACATAATTTGATTTGCTTTTAGATAGCTTGAAGATTAAACAAAACACAACCCCACTTCAAGCCCAAAAACTCCAGAGAATTGCCCAAACCAAGGGGGTCCAATGGCAGAGACAAAATTCTAACTTTCTACATTGAGTTGGAGCCCATATTGAGTGCGCTTTTGTATTGTATTTTAGTATTTTTTTTAAATCTCTTCAGACGATCATTCGCTGCTGCATGGTGAGCGATCTGTTTTGGAAGATAATCTTTCTGCCATAGAGCTCGATGATTTATTGAGCTTGTTATGGATGCTGATTTTCTTGATGAATCTGATAATAATTTTTATGATTCCTTGGCTGGCGGAGGCCTATGAATCTGAGAATAACTCGGCAGGTAAATCAGCAACTGACGAGTTGGAGATGATAAAGATTGAAGATGATTCAAGAGGACCATGTTCAATATGTTTGGAAGAGCTACGTACATTTTTACTTGGCTGAACAAGAGTAACTTTTGTCAAATATGCAGATTCGAGCTGCAAATATATAAAGAAATAGCCCTCTAATTTTGAGCTTAGATCTTTTTCATTTGTGATGAACAAGAACAGTTTATGAAGTTGGTGATATTAATGGTTAATTTTCTTTTTACTAACGTTACTGATTTCTGAATCAAATCCCAGCAATAATTGTACCTTATTCAGAGAATATCTCCACAATTATACCAGCAATAATTGTACCTTACTCACAAATCACTGCACTATTTTGCTTTTCTTAGTCACTGACGATTGAAAGTTGCAAAGCCATTCCTTCAACATGACAATGAATGATATCAAATTCTAATATCAGAAAATAAATACAAAAATATTCAACAAATATTCATGGTTTCCTGGTTTCTAGTTTAACACATACAACAAGTACAGGGACACCATCCACCGAGCACTGTCATTCTTCTTTCTTCCGTTTTGAACTGCCATCTCGAGCTGAAAGAATGTCTCAGGAAGAATATATTTGGATGGCCAACATTGTCTTCTCAGCTTTTAATCAGCTGTCTGCTGCTTCTTCCACTCCTTGATTACACTACTACTTTAAAGGGTCAGGTTTTTGACGAGCAAAACCGGGCTGAATGATGAAATCAACAATGTGTAGTCCAAAATGAACACAAACCAGAAACATGAGGAGGCAAATTGTATTAGTTACAGAAGAAATATTTTATATGTACAAAAACTAAAGATGTCACTCATTAGAGACCTCCAGCCATTCCCTATTAGAGCTGACAACATTTTCCAAATTATAGAGGGGTGGTTAAAGAATCACTGTACCTGAAGCAGCATTGAGGGAGCTGGAGCAGGTTCGGAAGTTACATGACTTCTGGTTTTTCTTCCGTTTAATGTAGTAACCGATGGGCTGTTTGATGTTGTTATGTCCCAAAAGCTTCGTTTTTTAGCTGTTGGGACTGGTGAACGAAATCGATGACTAGGGCTCTTCAACTCCCCTGTGCTTGGTTCCTTAGGCCGCAAGCTAGCCCTTGTTACTGCCCCTGTCCTCTTTGCCACTTCTGTTCCCCTTCTTTCTAATGGTTTTTCACTCTTTCGTAAAAGCTCACGAATGAGATCATCCTTATGCTTTATCTGCAAAGCATGATCTTTCTTCATTCTCTCAATTTCTGCTTCTAATGCCTTCACATTCAGCTGAAGCTCTCTAGCCGCTTCCTGTGCTCCTTTCCCCTTGAATTCTGGTGTAAAACAATTACCATTTAAGAAAGATGATCTGGGTTTTCTTTTTTCATTTGGTTGGGCTGTAGATGGAGGAGTTAAGAGAGAGGAGACAGAAGAAGGGGTTGGAGAAGTATTTGCAACTAAGGATTGTGCTTGGAGGGTCAGTAGCTTTTGTTGCTGGCGTGCCATTTGAACTCGCAATTCCCGATTCTCCTTTTGCAATTCAAGTAATAGCTTGGCTTGATCAGTTTCGGATTCAGGTACTTGATGTAGTTCTTCATTTGCTTCAGTTGCCTGCAATTGTAGTTGATAGGGTGGTACATATCATTAGATAAAAGAATATGAAGTAAATTGTGAGGAAGATGATATGCAATGCATGTTGAAATGAAAGATCGATATGAGCATTTGCTGGTAATAAGAAGTCTAATGTTAACATGTCTTATTAACTTGAAAAATTATGAGAGAATCCAGTCACAGTGATTACAATAAAAAGTGAAGAATGGAAAGGTTAAGGGGATGAACCTTGGTTCGGATTTCCTTGGCTCGATCAGCCCAATGCAGGGTGTTTTGAGTTTCACCGAATGAGAGATTGCATGGACTAATGTTAGCAATCATTGCAGTGTTACAAGCTCCCCCTAATGAATCCTTGAGGAGTTGAGTAAGCTTCGAATTCCGATATGGGATGTGTTTCTTACCCTCCACAAGGGCATTGATGCAGCTGCTCAGTGCAAGGAGTGACCGATTTATGTTGGCACCCTCAATTGATCTGACTGTTCTCTGATCAGTTGCAAGGGCTCTTTCTGACCCAGCAAGATCGATCAGTGAAAGCTTTCCAACTCTATTGACAATGTTCATAGAAGCATCTTTAACTCTGTATTCAACTACAACCTAAATGGAAGATAACACAACATTTTTAAGAAAAGGAAACAAGTATCTACAACATTGTAAGTTTAAATACCAAAGAGAACACAAATTCCATCGGTACCTGCAGAATGGCGTGGGAGCGTGAAGAGGTCTCATTGGCACGTGTTGGTTCAGTAGTTCGGTTTTGGTTTCCACGCTGAAGCAATGCCATTACCTGCACAGTCAAAATGAAAAGGTTTTATTTCCCCCGTTCAAGCAATTCTTTAACCTGTGGTTTGAATAAGATATATAAAACATAAAAACGTTACCTCATCTGTAGAGTAAGCTCTGTACTGTGTAAGGCCTGCTGCTACAATTCCCTAAAATGCATTAGAACCAAATTTCTATCAGATATTACTCAGACAATTTAAAGTCTAAAATGAGAGGATGAAGATTGAAAAGGGACTAAAATTTTTTTTTTAGATAAAGATCTGGCTTAACTAATTTGTTGCAAGAACAAAAATATTTGTGAACTTTCAAGCATAAAACATAACAGACCTGTTTATCTTCTCTAAGGACCAGAGGTCTTCCAGGTGAAAGCAAATCCCTGACAGTTTCATTGTAGACCTCGAGATAGGAGAGGTGAACTAAATGGTTTCCATCACAACTCCTCTGTCTAATCTTGGTGAATAGATCCTTAATTGCTAAAACCATCACTCCTGGATTCTCCACAGTACCTAGCATTGTATATGTTTTTCCAGCTCCTGTGGCACCATAGCAGAAAACTGATCCATTCCTTCCCTGGAGAACTGCTTCGACAAGCTCTGCGGTTCTGAAAATTAAGAAGGAATCTGTTACATTTTCTCTCATGACCAAGGATGGAATATCAACAACTTGTTGAGAAAACAAAAAACTCCACATGGTGGTAAAGTTATGAAAAGTTTCAGGTAAAATTAGCAACTGATTTTTCCAATGGAATTTCTGATCCTTCTGCTTAGTAGCTAAGAAAAAATTAGACATGGCATGAACTATTAAACCAAGATTTTCCATTAAGCTGAGACTAAAAAACTATTTGGCAAGGTAATTTGGAGTATCTATAACTAAAACAAAATAAAAGAAATTCATTACATAAGCAGAGCCAATTTTCAAGCAGCATTAGCAGCTGGTTTTATAAGCAAGTTCTATTCTTCCCATTGTGAACAGTCTAATGATATGGTAAAGAGTAGGAGCAAAGTGAAATGGAAGTCTGAAGATTGTCAAAAGAAAATTCAACTCATCAATAATGTTTTGGGGATAAAATTTTAAAGTGTCTTTTCCTAAATTTCTTAGCTTCCATAGAGGTAAACAATAATGGCATAAAAAAACTCAGCAGAAGATCAACCCGATTTTCAAATAAACATATAATTGTTGTTCAACAGAGAATCAAAGCTCTAGTTTTGACACACTCACGTGGTGGAATAGACTTCTTGTTGAGAAGTCGAATCCGAAAATGAAGCATCGAAAGTAAAATGGCGTCCACGAAGCCTCTTAAGCCGAAGATAATCATTCTCATTAGCAAACTCAGTCAAATAAACCTCCTTCTTATTCACAATCCTCACACAACACCGAGACCCCGCTTCCTTCTCTTTCTTAGACATCGGCCTAAGCCTCACAAACACAAGAATTCGACTCCCACAATTAACAACTCTCTCTGCAACACCCTCCATTTTAGCCCCATTTACTTCTTTAGTCTCTCGCTGTGGCAATGAGCCGCCCATTGATAACTTCCTCGCCACTGTTGTTGTCACATTGGCCTTTCTTGGGAACCCAAGAATGCGATCAGGCCCCATCACGAGATTCTCCTTAACATCATCCAACGGCGGTTGAGGCAACACGAAGGTTCTTGTAATTGTAGAACTTGGCGGCTTGGCGGTGTTCTCTTTCATGACATTGTGCAAAAAGCTTGAATCTTTCGATTCTTTTTGTTCTTTTTTACACGAACCAAGGAGCTCAACGCTTGGATGTGTTGTTGCAATTCGCTTCTCTTCAGGTTTCGGAGACTGATTTCTGAGAGCTGCCGAAGCTTTCTTTTGTTGCTCGTACAAAAGAGTCAAAGCTCTCATTTTCTCTTTCAACCCGTGATGTGGGTTTCTTAGATAAAGATTCGTTTGTGTTGTTTCTTCTTGTTCCGACCTTGATCGGCTTCTGGTTCTATGCTCTCCGTTTGAGTCATTCTGTTCGTGGTTCACGAATTGAGACCGAGTTGACACAGGCATTGTAGTATTTTGATTATTTTCTATTTATTTTCTCACCATCCAAACATACCCAGATGAAATTTCCTCTAACCCAGTTGGAAAAATAGCTCAAAACGCAAGAAAGTTCAAAAAAATTTCCAGGGAAATAAAAGAAATTTCAAGTCGTGGTGCAAGTGAAGAAGAAGCTGAAACGAGGAAAAATCAAGATCGTGAGAGATTTGAAAGCAATCCTGGCCGTTGATCTGATACGTGAATAAACAGTAGGAAGTAAGCCGGGAATGTGATTTTGAAGTAATTTACTAATTACACTCCGATTTTTGCTTCTTGAATTACTAACGAAGCAGAAGACGGGCGAAAAGCACTTTTGAGTTTTGAAAAGCGAGTGGGAAGAAGCAAATTGTGGAGGGCTATAAGGGTCTTTTGGTTTTTGAAAACAAAATTTAAAAATGTTGTGTGTAACGGTCATATTGTTGTCAGGTACTCAATTGAGAACAAAGAGAGGTAGGTCCATTTGGGAATTTCAAAGATAGATCCTTTTTTTCAAAGGAAGAAATATATTTTGTTATTAAATTATTATTTAACATTTAAAATGGTAAGCAATAAATGGCATATATTATTTTTAATTCTTAAAATATGCTTTTAACATGATCCAATATAATTTACAACAAAAACAATCTACATACACATATTCATATCTTTGTCATTTATGAGAAAATAAATATGAATTGAATAATGGTTTTCATTATCTAGCGGTTCATATTGTATCATGGATTTTAAAGTTCAACTAAACGAACGGTTAAGATGAAGGCTTTGTTTATAGTAATTACTTAATTAATTATGACGATTGAATGATGACAAACATTAGTTTATATATATCAAAATATAAATTTGTCTCAAAGAAGAAGAAAAAAATTTTTATAGTTGTAGATTCCAAGTCAAAACACATAATTATTTATTGTTGTTGTTTCTCGGTGGGATATCAACCCACATGCTTCAAATTAATTAATAAATCAAATATCAAGTTTTTTTTTTTTTGGAATTATTTCTATTTATAGGATTTTCACAAAGATAGTATTTTCATAAATAATTTTTTTTTTTTGAATTTTATATTATTATTTTTTCAGTATTGCTTTCGTATCACTAACCACCCCTTAAACAAATAGTTTAAGGTAACTCTATCTAACTTCAGTTTACAAATTAAGGTTAAAATCGTCTTTTTATCAAATTCTAAATATAAAACTATATTGAAAAAACAAATGATCAAGTAACATAATTACAAAACAAAAGTAAAAAAAATTATAGACAATTAGCTTGAAAGGGTGTTAGAGATGAGTTTATATTATTATTTGTTTTTATGATCAAGGGAGTGCTAGACCAACTTACCACCAGCTAATTCTCAAATCTGAAACATGAGTCGGATAGAGTTCTATTGTCAACCCTATTAACAACGATAAATTGACTTAAATCAAGACTAAGTCTTTATCGAACCATTCAACCACTAAGGTTAATTGATAAGTTATTTAGAATCTAGGGCCGTATTGTTTGATAATATGAATAACACTCACATTACAACAAAAAAATTATTTTTAGAGCAAGTTTGGGTGTATATAATTTTATTTACATTACCATCATAAGGTTTAATATTTGAGTAGTATATCTATATCTAATTAATAATTAATTGCCTTAAAAGGGAGGTCAATAAAATATTAGAACCAAATTATGAGCACTCATGCATGCCTTGAATTGGAGTGAAGAATTTCATGGTTGTTGAATTTTTGAACAAATATTATACGCACTATTTCATCATAAGACTACCTAATTTATTAATCCACCATTAATCTAACCTAAATATTATTGTATCATAAGTTTACTTAATTTGGAATATTATACCACTATTATATTAAACTCACTATTATTAATTGTCATCAATGGGAGTTATAGATCAGATTAAAACTTATGTTTACTTGAGTGTAATTAAGTAGACATATTGAGATGGTCAATTTTTGATCATGACCTATGACTGCCAAATTGGAAGCAACATAATTCATTTACATGTTATAATTACACAACTTAGAATTTTTTTTTTTTTTTTTTGGTGAAAGCCTCTGGCCTCCCATACCCAAAAAATGATAAGACTAATATTAATCGGGGTTAGGTAAGTATCATGACCACAATGTGCTTCCGTGCGTTCAAACTGTGACTTGCAGATAAAGTTTGTCACACTTAGAGTCAATTACAATTGACCAAACTTGGAATTATTTTCCATAACACATAAATGTTTAGATTTTAGGCCCATTAGCCCTTGTAATGGGCTTTTCTCCCTTTTGATTGATATTTTTATGCAATAAATTTTCAAATTTTAATTTAAAGGTTAACAACAATTAAAAATACTATATGAGGTGGAATTGTAATGTACCAAATTTCCTGAATCCAAGAACAGAGAATATATATATAGACAGTTTCTTGAAATTAAATCAAATCATACCAAAATATCTGTTATTGTCAAACAAACAGCAGAATATAAAAAAACAATATTGTTAGTTATTCGTCTTGGTCTTCATTAAAAAGCAGATAAATAAATTGAGAAAATTATGAATTTATGATGAATATAATTACTTACATAAGAAGTTAATTTAAAATAAAAGAAATAAATTATAAAATCTAAAGCAATTCAAACCTACAAGTGGACAACACCTATTCTTGTTCACCATTTAACAATACAACCATTATAAAATATGGCAACAAGGCATGCTCGTAGCTTCAGAACCCGAAGAAAGCTCATCTAAACATATTGAACATGGTCCCTTCGAATCATCTTCAATCTTAACCTCTCCAACTTCTCAATTGACGATTTACTGCAGCAACAATGGCAGTTCTGTATCTTCTGATTCCGAGTCATCGTCCATATTAATAACTCTCAAAATGCACAACCAGACGGAAACCTATAATTCTCATATTTTCTTTCGTGGCCATCTCACCAGCAATACTCATAATTCGTACAATAGTCAAAGGATCACAACTATGCCCATTAAGTCATAAATTTTTTCTTGAAAATATAATACAAGTAGTATTCCTTGCTTTTGCATCATTAATCATGTCAAGCTCAAAAGCTCGGTCGGCATGTTCATCAACAGTCGAGCTCTATTTGAAAATTTTCTAGTGAAAATCCATCTGAATAAATACGTGAAGAGAAACATGAGCTTTAAAAGAAAGAGAAGACGACACTAGTCCGTGATCCATCTTCAGGTTTGATGGTGTCCGCGGCCAAACATAACAGGAGTGTCGAGGTTGCGCTTGAGCTTGCCATCTTTTATCAAACTAAACAAGGTATTAGAGGATAAAATGAATTAGATTGTTTAAGTTCGGAGATAAGTTAATTTAATAGGATGCCTAAGGGGGAGGGGATTCATAAGAGATGGGGGATAAAGAAAATGAATCCTGATATATTCATAATATCAAAATAATCCTTAATTATAATATAATTTTCTTTAATTTGTTCTTGATGTTGACGTATGTATACCAGGACTTCTGGTTTTATATGATGATAGAGCAGTTCTTGATGTAGTAGGCTTGAACGAAAATAAACTTGTTTTAATAAAAATAGAAGGTGGTGTGTCTTGATTCATCTCGGTTTTAATGCCTTCTGACGATACTAAAATCAATAGGTGTTCAATGGACTCCAGGATTAATTGAGGCAAGATGGTCTGAAACTCATTACAAAAAAAAAAAGATTACTCATGAGATAAGAGTTGCTTCATCATTCTTGCATATTCTTGGATCAAAAGGATGAAGAAGGTATAACTAATTAAGAGAGTTAATTTCATAGATAATAATTAATATGGTGTTGTTTTGATAGGAATCATAGGGAAGGAGAATTAGGTTTTAGTTGGCAAAATATTACAAAGACAAAGAACCCTAATAGGATTATCTTATTTGATTTGATTTTAAAGACTTCTGAACTAATACATAATTAAACAACGCATAATTGGTGGGATATATCAAATTTCTTTAAGAAAAAAAATTTAAATTACTTGAATTAAAAAAACGGTAGGATTTTTCTTTTACTCTCTTTTCATTAACTTCAAATCGTGTTCTATAAATTAATCTCTTTTTATTAAATAAATAAATCCAAACCCCTCAAGTTGTGAATATATAAATAATTATTGAATTATCGTTAAAATTAAAACTAATCATTAATTCCAACAATTGTCTCAAAAACTAAAATATAACCACAAATATCTGAAAGTAAAAACAGAAAAAAAAAAAAAAAAGAAGGAACACCGAAACAGGATTTATTAACTAAGCCTAATAAAAACTGAACCTAAAAGACATAACGAGCAGCATAACATTGATTGGAGAGACATGAAGGCCTCTGAACTGAGCCATTGTTCTTTCCATCGGTGCTGTTCTGGTTCTGGGGTTGATCGGGAGGGCTTGCCGGCTCCAAAACTTTGATGATCATCTTCTGCCTCGCTTACAGTGCCCGGAACGCCGCGGATAAGTAGAACAAACCCGACGCTCCGCTTGAAGACAGTGTCGCCATTGTTGGAGTAGAAAAGTGGATGAGACGATTGGCACTTCTGGTACCCTCCTCATCACCACCATCACTGAGTCTTTCTTGTACTTGAAACCTGAATCCTCATCAAACAGACATAAAAACAGAAAGATTTTAACTTTTTGTAAGCGAAAGAAGCAACATTTCATATTTTAGTACTTACGAACAGTATCATCAGGCTTAACCTGTTGCCAGAAGCCCACTGGTTGTACATTTGGTCAGCGTTGTTGCCCTTAGGTATAACCCAACCATGATCGCCACCCACTTCATATTCAGCGCAAGTTACGTGTAGACATGGAGAAATGAGAAGAGAAACAAAAAGAGAGAAACTTTGAAAGAGAAAATGAAAGAGCCATATTTTTTGGACTCAGGGAGCTCTCACTTAAGTTTGGTTTAGTCTCTTGAAATAAACAAAAGAGATCAGAAGTAGTTTGAGAAAATATGGTTACTTTAATTGGAGTTCAACTGATTATTTAAACTAAAGAGAGCTCAAATTGAAGTCTGTTAGTGGGAGAATAATTAGGAGAGAGATTGGAGATAGTGGATTATTGGGGGTAACCGTTAGAGAGAGGCCTATGATCTTTGACTTGGTATAAATTTTTCTTTCACAAGAAACCAGCTGTTGAGCAAAATCAGGTAAAGAACTTAAAAATGTTTCAACTTTTTTATT